GTTCGAGACTTGAAATCGCGCCGCAGGGCAAGCATCACCTCTGTTGAGTCGCCTTTCCACAGACTCTCCGCACGGCCTCTCGTCTCGCCAACGTGCGGTACCAACCAAACCAAACCAAAGGGGGGGGGGGGGAGAGAGAGAGGAGAAAGGTCTGGTGTGTTTGATTTGGGCGATTCTCTCCCGTGCCCTGGATAATACGGGCGTGGCGCAGATCCTGGAACATCATCTTCCCTCCCCAGGCACACCAGGGATGTGCGACAAACGTTTTCTGATCTGCGACAGTGTTTCTTCCCCTCCCTGCCCTCTGCGAGGAGGTGGGCAACGCGATCGCGATGCGATTGGCTCTTCAACAAGGTTCGGACCCTTGTCGTCTCCCACACAGAGCCTCCTTCGACGATCCAAATCGGAAAGGGCCCAGTTTCGAACTTGTCTCCATCACGAGATGCGGTCGTTCTCGCCGGTGTTTGGCCTCATCTTTTTCGACTCCACACTCTAAACAATTTGCTTGATGTTGGGGCTGGTGTCGGTTCCAAGGGTTGCAATGCACCAGACGGAGGGTGGATCGTGCAGGCGATGTAGGAGATATTCTGCTAAGTTTGCCTCTCATGTGCTGGGGAGTACTGGGGAGTATCAACTCAACATCGTGAAATGTCGAGTACAAAACCGCCTGATTCCTCCCAATCTTTTCTCATCTCTTCTCATCATCAGCATCAACATCTTCAGCTTTTCAGCAGTCTCTTCTCTCTTTCGGTTCTAATACCTCCTCCGGCAGGATACTACTCGTTTACACTCCTCTGGCAAGGAGCACCATCTCATTCATCTCTTAACTACTAGTCAAAATGTCTCTCAAGACCGTCGCTGCTACTGCTATCCTCGCCGCCGCCAACTTGGTGGCTGGCCACGGTGCCATCATCGGCGCTACCGGCGAGCTCGGTGGCACTGGCATGGCCCTCGGTGTTGATCTCAGCACTCCTCGTGACGGCACCCGTCGCGATCCCTTCCAGGGCGACTCCACCCGCTTCAAGGGCGATGCCGCTGACACCTTCGGCGAGACCGTCGGTGCTGGCACCAACGACCTGGAGACTGGCACCAAGGCCATCATGGCCGCTACCGGTGACCAGCTTCCCCAGATCCGTGCCGGTGGCACCATCGACATGACCGTCCACCAGGTCAACGGTGACGGTGGCGGCCCCTACGACTGCATGATCAACGGTGATGCCACTGGCGCCACCTGGACCAACATCAACGTTCCCGTCACTGTTCCCGGCCAGAACTCCCGCAACCGCGTAAGTCACTTCACTCACAACACTACAAAGTATTCGAGTCTAACAGTCACAGGACGGTGCTATGACCGACTTCCCCATCAAGGCCGAGATCCCCGCTGGCCAGACTTGCACTGGTACCGTCGCTGGACAGAACAACGTCTGCTTGGTCCGTTGCCAGAACGCAGCTCGCGCCGGCCCCTTTGGTGGCGTCGTCCCCGTCCAGATGGCCGCCGCCGGCAACACCCCCGCCGCCGCTCGCCGCAACCTGGCCCGCGCTGTTACTGAGTCTGACCGCCAGTTCAAGCGCATGATGAAGCGCGCCATGGAGGCCACCGACTTCGAGGACGAGGAGTAATTTAGTCATTCCTTTGCACATATTCTAAGATTGAAAGGGTGGAGTGGTCTTTGAGGGATTACATGTAACAGTACTGGATTACTGATAATGAGACACGACTGCCTGCTCTAGCTGGAGTATGGTCCTTCTACCTTTTTGCCTCCTTCGCTCTCCAATGTGACGGAATGTACTGTCAGTGACTTGATGGCCAAGAAAAACGAGATATTCTTTTGCCTTTTTGACTCACAGTCAGCAAATGTTGATTCTCATAATCATGGTCGGATGATTATGCAGGGAAATACATGCTAACACTTTGTCTCAAAATCGTCGCGCGCAAAACCTACCCCTGAAAGTAAGACACTCGGTACGTGTCAACTCTTGAAAAGATGACTGCCAGACTGTGACATCTGTTCTAGTGCGCGTGAGCCTCGTCTGGGCTGCGACGAAAGACCGGCAGCACTTTAACGATTTCCAGAATCTTGGAACGTGAAACGAAACAATGGTAAAGCTGGTTCACGGGCCACACACCATCTTGAAAACTCAAAGCGTCTTTAGAAAGAAAAAATGGGTGGGTTGAAACGGCCTCTAGCTCTTCAGACGAAGACACACCCAGGCTTAAGGTTTGTGGTTCCTGGAGAAGCAACCCACAACCTGGGGACCATTTCGTCATTCCGGCATCTATATCCGACTTTTACTGGCTATCGATATAAGCGCAAAGGTAAGTGATCATCAGCTGTTCTTTAGAATGTGGGCTTGCAGATCTTTTGTCCCGGATGTTTCGCAGCCAGGCATGCATTCCATGGCGATGGGCAAACGGTCCAACGGTAAAGTCTAACGACTTCATCATACCAATACGCTAAAAAGGCGACAGTCATCAAGGTAAGGCTTCAAGAAGTTTGCGCTGCACTGAGGCTAGATTGACGTGAGAGATGGAGGGTGAGTGGTGGAGGGTGAGTGGTGGTGAAGGCGAGCTATCGCCGTCTGAATACATCTAGCCTCCACCTAAAGACATATTTGCCGAAGTGATAAAGAGAGGAGAGCAGAAACTTTTCAAGGATGTATTACGGCTACATTAAGAGCCTCTGACGACAGGAATAAAAGGCGGAAAGCTAGCAGCCATACATACCAAGTGGCAATTCTTGAGGTCGTGGCGCATGCTAGTGGCTGCTTCATGGGGTTCCTTTCTGAGTAATGACTCTGAACTTATTTCTATTCCTGATTTACTGAATTGATGAGCGACTTTTTGACCATCCTTAATATTGATGTTTTCCAAGTTGCATGTATGATCGCGTTGCCGACCCCGCTTCTAGATGACGGCAACTTCTGCTCTCTCCATAACCCTTACTGGCACAAGACTGGTAAAGTAAGGAAGGTATGCGAATAGCGACAGAGTTAACTCCAGTGCCTCGAGAACACTGAGTCTTTCATTCTGGGATGGAGGGGTCTCTTTGTGGACTAGATCAGGACCTGTAGAATAGGCTTCAAGCTTTACTCCCGAGCTTTCTCCGCTCGGAGGTTTCACAAGGATACAAGCCCGTGTTGAATGTACGAATGACTCTACAAGCTTTCTGGTAGTGAGGCTGTCTAATACGAATAGTTTAGATGTGTAAAATAACTCGGGGGTTTCGGTCTCGCTTCATAGATGGTGACACTTCAAAGTTCAATTTTGTCTTCAACACTACCTTCTGCTAGATAAGTGTGACTTATAATGTTGGCCTTGATGATAGACTGCAACTGCTACTAATTTAAGAGTTGTCGATAAAGGGGCTTGAACCTCACACAGAAGATATCATGTAATGTTAACGTTTGTGCCCCTACTTAGTAACTACTTTACAGAAAGATCTCATCTATAGATATGAAGGTAAAGTAGGATCTGATTAGTAATTTAGTCAATGAGACTATGTTACTAAAGTTGTGACGGATATTGACTTCCTGAGTATTGACAAGACGTTCCCCTGACTATGATACCCGATTTCATCTCTTGTATCTATAGCGAGGTAAAGGACGTGAAAGAATTAGTATACTAGCTTCGCAGCACGAAAAGCAATCGATAGTCATATGTCAGCAATGCAACTCATACCGTTGCCAACAAAACCGTACCCAAGGAAGTCTAAAGAAGCTACAGAGACTAAGTATGATAAATGCGACTGGAGTGAGATCACCATCGCATGTGAGAATATCCTATCTCAACAAAAACATCTTTCAAAGAAGAGGAGAAACACCATTCTCGCCTGTTCAAAGTCGGTGCCGTGAAAAGCATCCCCATGCCATCCGGGCCGGTATGAGAGAACGGACCGTGCCGGTGTCAAGATACATGCAGTCTCTCGCGGGGAATTTTCGCATGATAATGCCTTCCTTAGCATCCGGCCGGCAATTGCTGACATGGAGATAAGTTATCTCTAGCCAAGAGATCCGACCTTGTTGACCCCGATTTTGCTGTCTTGGCGATGGCAATGAGAATTGACACATTTAACCGGCGACCCACACTTTCACCGCTCTTGCAGTCATGGCATCGGCATTAGTAATTCCTCGGCCGAAGTTGCCTACGTGAGTATCAGAAACAGTCGCCTCTAGTGAGCAATTTCAGCATCAAATGAACAACAGTCTGAGGAGAGTCCGCAACTCCGTACGGATAGAGTCCTAGACATTGGCAGCTAGCAACGACTCAGGTTCCAGGTGCTCTACCATTTGACTTGCCTGATGGGGTTTCGGGCCTCCGGATATCCACCACGGGGACCCCATTTTCTGGAGTTGCACCGCACCCCATAACCTAACGCCCCTCAAGCGAATGCTTCTCTACATTACCCAACTTCCTTTTCCCATCGTTTTCTCTCGCTTGTCATTACCGCCACGCAGGTCTGGTGCCATTCCTATGCAGCCCAAGCTGCGAGAACAAGGTCGAGATTCATCCAAGATAAGGCGTCAGAGCACTCAAGAGCCGATGGTCGGTTCTCGCAACTCGCAAGCGAGCTAGGGTTCCCCACGGTTCCGATGCCGGGATAGTAAACAAGGCCGGGCTCATGCAACGTCCCTCCCGCCAAGACACCAACGATATGAACTCCAAAGAAGCGAGAACTCTAACCCCCCGTCATGACCTATGCGCGATTAGAAATTTTCAAGTGCTCTGTGGTCGCTTGCGCCGTCTTCGGGCATGCTTCCCACGTTGTTGCAATGATTGCGGAGTCGGGACCTGATAGTCGGTAACCGGTTCTGCGCAACATGACACGAAAACTCGACTAAACGCAACCTCCGCACCCCGAAACCTCTGAGATGGGACTAATGGTAATCTAATTAGATGATGCCCAGCTTTTAGAGATCTGCTAAGCCTCCAATATGTCCATCCGGGTGCTTATCAAAACCTCACTTAGTTGAGCCTCATGCATTGTCAAGGGTAGCGAGCAATTGTCAGACAGTCATATAAAGGTCAGAGACAATCGAGGGGATCAACATTGAGCCCCCTAGACTTCTCACCCTCTGTCACTTTTGCCCTCAAAGTCTGTCATAGTCAACATGGCTGCCCGTTGGTCGACCCTCCTCACTGCTGCAGCCAGTCTTTGCCAGACGGCTGTTGCGGAACCCGTCTTTCGTGAGACGGTCTCTTTCCAGGGTCCGTTCGAAGTCGAGAGAAATGGAGTCCGTAACATCAATATCGAGTATAATGGCCCCCTCGATGGAGAGCTGTCCATTGTCTACGGTGGTTGCGGGATGAGAAGTCCCTTCGAAGCTCACCACAAAATCGGAAGGACACACATCGGATCCCACCCTGCTGCGAAGCGCCATCTGGAGTGGACGGATCAAAGACCGACCAAGTTTGTATGGATGGTGCCGGAAGATGTTTCCTCAGGTTGCTTGCAAGCTTTCGTTGACAGCCAGCTCGTTGGCCGCTCTTCAGAACATTCTGTCAAGAGTCGCAAAATGAGGAAACGTGCAACTTTCGCCGAGGCCACCGACCCAATGGGACCTTGGTTCGATGGCGTCGAGTACCTGAAGCAGAAGCAACCTGACGATGTGTTTGTTGCATCAGTCAAGAACAAGACGTTTGGTATTCTGGGCGCTGGCATTTCTGGTCTGCACACTGGTGTAAGTTTCCAAGACCACTCCGTCTATGATGAAAAACTGACAAGAGCCGTAGTTGCTGCTCGACTCAGTTGGAATCCACAACTGGAAGATCCTAGAGTCTTCAGAGAGAGTTGGAGGACGTATTCGTACCACCTACCTTAACGGATCAACTCCAGACGAGCACCAGCACCACGAGTTGGGACCTATGCGGTTCCCGCACAGCATTTACGATGCCGAAACCAACGAGACTTACCCCATCAACGATCAAAAGATGATTTACCAGCTGGCGGATGTTCTCAACGAGATCAACGCTGACGCGGATCCTGCCCTGCAAGTCAAGTTCATCCCCTGGATCCAGGTTTCTGACAATGCGCCTGTTGCCACCAAGGAGCGTCGCCCTGATGGCACTGTTCCGGGTCGCAAGGAGATCACTGCTGATCCCTCTCTCATGACCAACACAACCTATTCCAACGCTACCGCAGCCAAGGAAGCCATCCAGGCTCTTGACGACTTTAAGGCTTTGACTCCTGAGAGACGGAAGGTCTACGCTACCAATGTCTTCAAGGCTCATAAGGAGGCTGTTGAGACTGGCATGTTTGACTTTTCCGAGGTTGAGTACCTGCTTCACGTTATGCACACCGACCTCAACGTGACTGATGAAGTCACTCCCTCTCAAGTCGTGTGGCCCATGTGGGAGTTTGAGACTGTCTACTTCCTGGCCAACGAGTGGCGCACGGTTGATGGCGGTATCAGCCGCCTTCCCGCTGCCTTTGAGAACATCATCAAAGACCGCATCACCTACAAGACCAAGGTCTTCAGCGTCAAGTACAACGAGGACTCCAACAACCTCAATGTCACCTGGCGTGAGACTGGAGGCAATCCCTGGTCGAAGAACACCACCACCGAACAGTTCGACTACGTGTTTAACAGCGTTCCGTTCAACGTGCTCAAGTATTGGGAGCTGCCGCCTCACTCTAGCTTGATGCGCCGCGCCATTGAGCGCACAGTCTTCCTGGGTGCCGTCAAGGTTGCCATGCAGTACAAGACTCGCTTCTGGGAGCACCTCGAGCACCCCATCATCGGCGGATGCGGACGCACCGACATCTACGGCATCGGCCAGATTTGTTACCCATCCTACAACATCAACGGAACCGGCCCAGGTGTTATGCTCACGAGTTATGCACCCGACGCTGATGCAGTTGTCGTTTGCTCCATGCCTGTCGAGGAGCACATCGCCTACATCCAGCGCGCCATGGTTGAGATCCACGGACCCGTTGCCGATGAGATGTGGACGGGCAATTACGAGCGTCACTGCTGGGAGCAGGATGAGCACCATGCAGGAGCCTTTGCTGTCCCTATTGTCCCTCAGCAGCAGCTTTACTTGCCTGCTTTCTGGCAGACTGAGTTCAACACTGTCTTCATTGGCGAACACACCAGTTTCACCCATTCTTGGGTTTTCAGTGCCCTTGAGAGTTCTACGCGTGGTACTGTTCAAATGTTGTTGGACCTTGGTCTGGTTGATGAAGCCAAGCAGATTACCAGGACGTGGATGGCAAGGTGGATCAGTATTTAATGTGGCTAAAGCAACTCCATCGTGCACTCTCAATCAACGAATAGTAAAACATTTCCCATGTTGATTACTGGTGTTGAATGCCGCTATGCCACTTTTGACTCCATCGTTGTATTTGATTCAACCAGGTCAGTGCTAAGGTTGTGAATCCTTGTCCCTATAAAAGTCATCGGACCTGATGTGCGAAGTGCCAAACCCAGACAAAGACACTGGACATCATTCGCGCCTCAGCCCTGAATGGAGATCTAGCTGTCTCGCGAAAATCTAGTGTCTTCTGAAGACGCAAAGCAACATTGAAATACGTCCTTCAACCCACACCAATGTCCATCACTGTAGACAGACAGAAAAGAGCTAGGTCTCTTGTACTCAATGCTTCTGCGATCGCTCATTTGGTCACTATGTCTGCCATTTGTCGAGAGGTGGGACTGACCGTTCCGTGTACGGGGATCTGCAGTCATTTCATGGGGCTTGAAAGGCCCATCATGACTTCTCAAACGAGTGCTACTCTCACTAGCCTCTCTTGAAGGCTGGGCCCCTGATATTGTTGCATGAGAATCTTCGCCCAAGCAGGAGCATGGCTTCGTGATTGATGCAATGAGTGGCGTTCGCTCAGTTGGCTGGCCCTGCAGCTCCATACGAGGACTACTGCTTTGCGACTGATGACTTTCCTGACCCATCTTCTGTGGAGTGTGTGGGGGGCTATCCCTGGAGAGGACAGCTGCAATATTGTTCATCTCTCCATGTGATGCACAGTTGAGTGACCCACGATCGCTTTTGGGACCCCAAGTCTCGTCACAGAAGGATCCTGGTACTGGAGAATATGCTCGTGCATTGTAGACAGCCTTTTTCTGACTAGACTGGTGATTCGTGCTTGACGTGGGACGAGAGCTTGTCGTTGCACAACCTTGGCCCATCAGATACTCAGACGGTTCGGGTTTGCACTTATCCTCCAGTTCCTTAAGTTGCTTGGCGATCTTGGCGCAACTTTCTCGATCCTTGGGTATAGGCTGCAGAAGATCCTTGACAATGAGGTCCAGGAAGTCTCTGAAGTAGCCACCACAGTAGGGTTGTTTTCTTAAGTGGTTTATCCACTACGCGTTGTGTGGAAGAGCGCAGTCAGCGGACTGCGAAAATCTTCAGCCTTCATTCATGTGATTTTGACTTACTTTGTTGACTGATGGTTTCAGTACTGGCTCTTTCTCTCCATTATTTTCAATATTGCTGTGAATGAAGAACTTATCCTCCTTGAAACCTGCTGGTGCACCTGTGTCATCTGCCGTTCGACAACCCACAAAATCCCTAATTCCATGGGGTCCCTTCAAGTACCAGGTGATGAACTCGAGGAATACACAGCCAAAAGTCCATATGTCGTACGACCTGGAGATAGTAGTAGGTTCTTGAAGATTAAGTTCTGGTGCTCTGTGAGTCGGACTATAGCCTATCGCAGGAGCGTTCGACCGCGTGTTTATCCCGTGAAAGCGCGTATAGCCAAAGTCGCTAATTACCATTATTCCGTATGGATTTGAGCTGTGATCGAAAATTAGGATGTTCTCGGGCTTGATATCTCCATGGATTCCAAACTCTTCTGCAAAATCTGAAGGGCTCCTGTGGATCTTCTTGAGACCTTCGACGAGGCCTCGGCATTGCGTGGAAATCCAGTGTACAAACTCCGGCGACCTTTCTGGGCGATTTTGCTCCCAGTAGTCTTTCAGGTTGCTTCTGGCCCATGGGAACAGCATATTCCAACTGTCTCCTTTTCTCCAAGTTGCGAGAAGCTTGATGACGTGGTCATGACTTGATAGGCCAACCGTCTTTGCCCAAGCGCGCACCTCTTCGCGAAAATTCTTCTCGCGGCTGAACTTCTTCTTATTATCAGATCCAGCAAGTAATTCCTTGACGGCAAAGAATGGGTTTCCACTGGCAACACCCTACAGAGATTTAAGTTCGTGGCTGGGTCTTTTACAAGCTTGCTGGAGACATGGAAGTCCTACCTTGTGCATTGCGTGATGGTGCATATGAATCTGTACTCGCCGCACGTGACTGTTCGATGTCACAACAGATGACGTATTTGAAGATTCTGCGATGAAGGGCAGAACTGTGTCGGGCTCCAACTCGTAATGAGGTATCCCTCTGTCCTTGTCGCTGAGACCAATTGCAAAATAGGGGGATCGCATTGTTCTTTGGTATCTCTCGAATGCACCCCATTCTCCGAGGGACCATTGGCTGCCGAATGTTCGTTTCTTGAGATCATCATCGAAGCCTTTTGGGAACAATTGTCCATCTGGACTAGGTTGATTTGGATCTGGCACAAATGGCAAGTTGTCGTCCGAGAGATCGAGTTCAATGAATTGCCGAATTTCTCCTACCTTTTCTAAAAGCGTGAGAATTGCGAATACGCTTCTGGATCCCACCTTGGCGTTATTCTCTGGACCACTTGGAGGACACACAGCTTCTGCACATCTCCTCAAATCTGCTTCGCGAAGCTCCGAGTTTTCGGGAATTGATTCCTTTAATGCTTGGAAGACGGATTCTTTGGTGACAATCCTGAAAAGATGATTGACTGGCAACCACTGTGATCCTTGAGGTCTCCCAGCAAAGTATTCGAGTGACCCGTACACATCCCGTCCCAGCGATTTAACAATTGAGATTTTCTTCGTCGTCGCTTCTTTGTATTGCAAGTGAGAACCTATTAGGCTAAGGTCCGACTCAGCTGCTGCGACTGAATCATGGTTCTGACGAATTGAGGAAGTGTTCTGGTCGAATGCCATCTCAGCAGCTGCATAGCCCCGGTCATTTAGGGTACAAATGCTGATGTCGTCGTCATCTGATTGATGTCGTCGGGATTCAAGGGGCGTTTGGGGCCTTGGAGATAGACTTTGCCCATCCCGTCCCAAGGTTGTCACAGCGTTGGCGAGGGGCGAGGGGGTATTTTCATTCCATAGAGAAAGCATGAAGCGGGGGCGCTATAGTTCATGAGTTAGAACACTTCGCAAGTTCAAGTCAGGAATCAAAGACCAAGGGAACTTCTTAGTTCAGACACGCAAAGGTCCGAAATGGAACGACCCTAAGACGGCTGTGACTTACCTCGGCAGCTGTGTCTATACCAGGCTCTGACTCTCCAAGGCTAATGTTGTCATCTTCTTCTAGCATGTCGCTCATATCTTTCTTTCAAAAGCTTGCAAGTGAGTTGAGTGCAGTTCAATCTTAAAGAATGTCATAACCAGTGAGCGAAATGGCTACTAGTTCTCAAAAGCACATATTGATGCGTCTCCTGACCTCTGTCGAACCACGAATGAGTGCGAAGGTGCTCATATACTATTCGTTGAAGTGAGAATTAGAGAAAAGCTCTCTCACGGTTCCTCTCCTCATATCAGGCTGGGATAGGCCACCAGGCTGGAGTAAGCCGCTTTGGCTTGGCTCTGATGAAGGCAGTCTACATAGCCTCAGATGTACCAGGCCAGAATGCTCCCAGACTCCGGCGCTCCGCTCTACTAAGCATTACGATGGCACTGCCTCCTGGACCACCCTTCTCGTCTGTTATCGATCCAGCTGAGCGTCAATTACACCGAAGCCTGCCTCACGTTTCATACAGGATGACAGGAAGAAACACGAAAACGGGGCATGATATCGACCAACAGCCTGGCCCCCACGGAGGCGCATCAGCTCGTACCCCCTTCCTCGTCAAGCGCATGCAATGACCCATATACGCTACGTAACACCAACCGGTCTATTAGTGACACTAAGCCCTTTAGGAGCCTGATTATCGGTCGTTGTGTCTCAAATCAGCCTCGGTTGGGCAAGATCAGAAGTAGAACAAGTCCCAAGGATGTGTGGCGTGCAGAGGAATGGTGGGTGGTGGCAAGGGCAATTATGGTTGACTGAAGTCCACTCTCAGCCTACTTCTCAATGTTCTTACTTCACTTCCGCTGTGCCGTGTGTTGGCGGAAAGCTCAATTGCGATGGTCGCGAGAATAGGGCCTCCCAAATCTAAGATCATACTACCTTAAGTACTTTATGTATAAGAAGGAAACCAACGTTTCCGTCTCCCTGATCAGTCTAGATGCCTCAACCTGCTGCCTACCATTTCTATCAAGAACTAAGTCATATCATATCTATCTAAACCTTCCCTAAACTATTCGATCATTCTACGCATTGTTCTTCCAACACCTACCTTTGTGTGGAGCTAGAGGTCAGCCGACACATCGCCAGCAATCATCATCAAAATGGCGATACTCTCAACCTCTAACTCTTCAAATTGTAGCGGTGAATGGCAATATATCCATTGCAAGATCGTCAAAAGCCCGCAAGGGCTGTCGAGCCTTCTCACGAGGCTTTACGGGCCGGGGAAGTTCTCGGTTGAAGTACGTCCTTAGCTCGCGAAATTTTCAATATGCAGCCTATCCCCTAAATCAGGATAGCTTTACTGAACGTATGACTAATGTGACTTGAAGACAAGGCAAAATGTATACTGCATCAAAGCAGTGGATTCATTAGTCCCCCTGGATCTTGTAAGTGGAAATCTTGACCCTTCCCACCGATGTCACGTGTACTAAGAATGAATGGGAAAAGGCTCGTCCTGAAGTGAGGGATTCATTAAACGGAAAGTTTTGCCCGTAGATTATCTCGGTCATGGTATTTTTGCTGAGCATCGAGATACCACTTTACAACATGACTTACGAAGAAGCGACGCACGGTTTCCTGGTCGTGTGTGAGAGAGCCTAAATTTCCCAATTCCATAGCTATGACAGTAACAGAATTTCCAACAGATGCAATCTCACGGTTCATATTCCTTGATCGGGATGGAGGATATGTGGCACAGTAGTAGCAGCTGATCGCGACGGGAAAGGGTCAAGTACCTAGGCTAAGACAAGTATCTCGCTAGAAGATAAATCATGTTGCCCTGATTGCTCGCCTGATCAAGGCGATACCTGTGCATGCATGAGTGTGCCTAGAAAGACTCACTAACAACCGCTGTGCGAACCAACAACAGACAAGTGTGGCTGAATGGCCAGGCGGCATGGAGAAGGCGGCCAGAGCCTGCTTCACGGATATTGATACTTCTTGCGAGGCGAGATCAAATTCGTACTGGTTGTTGTCATTTGCCTGCATCTATCAAGGCAATTTTGTTATCGAGAGCTGTAAAATAAGCCGCATGGAAGAGGGTGTAGTCAAGCCCTTGACTGTGCCTGGGATATCTCGCGGCGAAGTTCTTATGGGCGCACGAACTTGATGTCATTTGCGGTCGCTCCCACCCTAGGTAGTTAATGGAGAGCAACCTCAAAACTTCCGCAATCCTTTTCCCCATCTCATCACTTCACAAATCGCGGATTCTCTTGAGGAGATAGCATACAATATCTTTTGTTCGACATGGCCAACCAAGATAGTATCGTTGGCGGAGTTACGCCATCTATCCAGATCAACGATGGCCCGCAGTACGGAGTTGACGATCTGCGTGCGACCGACGAAATCTCAGCCGTTACATCCTGGATCACTCCTGTGCTGCCACATTTAGAGAGTAACAACACAGACATTGACGATGCCCAGGAACATGTTGAAACAAGGCTTTGGGACAATGCCATCAGATCTCCCTTCGCCTTGAATAGTGACCCTGTGTTCTGGCCATCGAAACTTATCGAGCACTTGTTCGACAGAGAAGCAGTGCTCAGCCTTGTTGTGCACCTCTTCAGGCGAAATGCACTCCCTGCAGCGTACAATGCGGGGTCTGTTGACAGCATCTATCAAGAGTGGACCGATAAGATTTTCGGAATCGATGGTCGCCCAACGAGGTATCGTCTCGTCTTCGCCATCTTAGTTCTCATGCAAAAGGCCTCCTGCATACAGAGCTTCGTCAGTGAGAGTTTAGACGACAGTTGCCTGCCCCTTCAACTCGATCAGATCAAACAATACCAGGGACAGAGGTCTAGGCAATCAAACCGCCCGTTTGGAAGATGGAGCCCCCTTCTCGTGGATAACTTCTACAATCTGCAGTGCCGGTTGTTTGTCCAGTTCATTGCAAAATCTCCACACAAGGGAGAGGTCGCTCATTACAACTTCGATGCGGCCCACGTACTTCCATGGGTCATGATTTCCCAGCCGCTTTCGATCACCACACCGACTGGGGCCGACGGATCCACCTCAATGAGCTTGAGTGGTGGGTTTGGAGAAGTGAAGCAAATCGTCATTCATGGCTGGCAGCATAACTTCCACCGGAGTCTCCGTGAGGTAAGATTCATCAAAATCAGTTCTTTGCACCACTGTTCATTCAAGCTAAATGATCAAGATCTCCGCCGCTCCAGGGTGTTTTGCTCTCAAAAAACTGTACATCCCGAATAAACAAGAGTTCGACCAAGAGGTCGAGCACCTGAAGCGCTTTGGTGGGAGGCACCCCCACATCGTCACGCTCCTCGCCACATTCACGCGCCACACCAGCGGTGGTATTGAGTACCTTCTCCTATTCCCATGGGCCGAATGTGATCTACTGGAGTTCTGGAGACGAAATACATCCATCAAAAGAGACCACCAACTCTATCTCTGGACAGTAAGCCAGATCTGTGGCATTGCCGATGCACTAAGCTACATTCACGACCCAAATGACTTGGACCACCTGGATGCCAATGGTAATCGTCTCTACGGGAGACATGGGGACATCAAGCCTGAGAACGTCTTGTGGTTCAAATCCCAAGGCACTGGAAATCTTGTGCTCTCGGATCTTGGGCTCACACGGACACACAGACAAGAGAGTCGCTCCAATCGACCGGGCGCAGAAATACCTGTCTCTCCTAATTATAGACCCCCTGAGTGTGATATTGAAGGGAGGGAAGGTCGCATATCTAGATCTTTCGACATTTGGACTCTTGGATGTCTTATTCTCGAGTTCATGGTGTGGTTTCTTGACGGCTGGGAAGGATACGAGAGCTTCAAGCAAAGGCGCTTATCACCATACATCAACAGCCACGATACGCCCATCTACTTCGAAATTGTTCGGATTTCTGATGAGAACTTCGCTTTTAATATCAAACAAAGCGTTACAGATGTTTGTACTCAACTTCATGTTCGCGGGCAGGTGACGTTGCTGATATTGAATGATGTAGGAATTCGACCGACTACGGAGACACAAGCGGTGCTCACAGTTCATCGGTGACTTGCTGGATCTGGTCCAAACCAGGATGTTGATTGTTCAATCAACGGAGCAGAAACGAATTGCAGCATCGGACTTGTGTCGAGAATTGGGGGCTTTGCGCGACAACTGCTCTCGGAGGAGATATTATTGCGTGCCGCCGGTTTCATCAATGGCGGCTATCGAGGGTCATGTGCCCGTCGAGGCTCGTCTCAATAAAGTGGCGAAAAGACACATCGCGGCTATCAATGTCAGTCATTTTGATGCGATAATCATGGACTACAAGGGTCCAACACGATCAGCTGCTGCTAGGTAAAGTGTAAAGTAGACACTTGGAAGTGGGGGGGAGTCACGAATGATGGGAACTTGGAAGCGCCACGTAGAAATTATGACCTCTATTATTGCATGTTCTAAACGATTGAATTGTCTTTCCATACTCTTTGCTCAATGACGAGACGCGGTATTGCATTAAGAGAGTATCATTGATTCGTGCTTTTAAGCATAGTGATCTGCCTGGATTGCCCTCAAAACTGTCTCGCGCTCAACCTGTGTGTGCATGTGAAGATTAGCTGCTGAATTGTGGATAGAAAGATGTCACAAACTGACCGGTTTCAACTTCCTTGGGATGGTACAGAAAAATCTCCCACGCTCGGACTGTGTTAACATAGCCTTTTGTCAGCTCGTATAACTCTATAAACAACTTGCAACTTGCGGCTGGTTGAGTTTCTCACCGATATCTGAAACTTTTGGCGTGGAAAAATGAGTCGCAGGTGCTGAGCGATGACCGCTTCATCGGTGTACCTGCCCTGAAAGACCTCAGTCGCCATCGTCGCTACACTTAGTGGAACTGTGCAAGTTTGTTGTAATTTTCTGTTGGGCCTGTTCTCCGGGATCTTTGGATACAAGGTGATTTAGGGATCAATTGATGCGATGGATATATTTTATTCGGGGGCAAAAGTACAAACATGTGCACTTACTCCTGTGGTCATCGAGGAGCCTCGTACAAAGCCCAAGGCATAGTTTGCCTTGGAAGCGCGATTACGCGTTACAAAAACCTGCCGCAGAGTGACCACGTCCGCAGACGCACCCTTCGCCGCAGCAAGAACGGGGTATGAAAGGCCTCTTCAAGATCTTCTCACACACCGAAGGACTTCCTATGCGTTATCTATGATACAAAGGTGAGTGAAAAGGTAGAGTTCCCTCGTTATGACATCGATTTGTAGTCAGACGAATCCATGTGTTCGCCGTAGGTCGCGACGTCTTTGCGTGTGGGCTGATCTCATGACCACCAAAGGGCTTGTGCAGGTGGACGGGATCACAAGTCTTCGAGCCACTTTCTTGAGACACAGACGCTGAAGTCTTCCCCTGCGACTGAAATCTTTGGGAGAGCCAATCTAGACCAATGCCAAAAAGCCCTGGCGAACCACAGCTCAGGTCACATATCATTTGCGACAGTCTCACCGACAAAACGGCTGCAGTCATGAAAAAGCAAGGCGAGCATCAAGAGCTCATTAGACTGCCTGATTCGGCAAACAAAAAACTTGTGCTACATGGCAGCAGAAAATTCGTGGCGCTGCTGCAGGAATGCGGTGTGGGTGGCCTTCGTGCATTGCAGTGCCCCCTTGGCAGGCGTGGCAAGGTGCCTGACAAATCATTCCACAGGCAAGACTGCACAGCCTGAGTGATAAGCTGCAAATATGGCGCGAAGTCTCGCTCCTCCCGAGTCTGTGAACAGCTGAGTATTGGATGCGGCCTGAAGCTTCCGCACCTCTCATTAATTTTGGCCATGGACTGGGTATCGGACGATGGTAGTTTGAACGAAGCCGACCTCCAGAACGTTTTTCGATATGAAGCACGGGAGACGAGGGTGGTCAAGATCCTAACCAATCAATGCGTTCGTGTACATCCCTATTCGAAGAAAGGATGGAAGCTTATCTTTAGGATAGGGTACAGATCTCTGCATACGGTCGATTAAGACCTCAGGAGAGTGGCAATCATGGCTCGAGAATGTAAGCTTTCACCTTGTCATCTACAGGTCGATAGCCTATAATTGATGACTGATTCCAGGACACTCCATCACTTTACAAAGATTCGGGTCTTGTAGTCATGTATGAAGATTCTCCTCTTCCCAAAACAACTAAACTAACAATGTTGTCTCCAAAGAATCGCCAGAAAGCCATACGATACTGCAACAAAGCATTGCGGAGGAGGGAACTCTCCTATTGTCCACCCTTCGGGATCGACACCTGAATCATTTAATGAGAAATTTGCATCGCTCAGCACCTTTAGCAATGGGACATGGTCAAGTAACACTACCGCGGATATCGAGTCCCAGCCCGACACGCCAGAGGCCCCGAAAGGAGGAAAGAGGGAGGTGCGCCAACTGCCTTTTGATCGGAGCACATTCAGGGACATTTGCGATAGATTCTTCATACACTCCTCGATAGCGCGAGTTATAAACCGGGCAGACGTTCCTGTATTTTCTAGATCCTTTATTACCATGAAGCAAGGGGGTCCGGATGCAGCTGGCCAAACTGCCATAGGTATGCGCCCTACCTGTAACCAAGCAGCTGCGTTATTAAATTGTCGAGTACAGTATATCATTGCAGATCATCTAATACATGGGCGGACGACTTAGCCTTGACAGCCACTCACTTTCCCCGGAGCAACTTGACCTTTGCGGTACTGTTTGGATGCAATGCTGAGGTCGAACGCAACGTAATCAACCGATTAAGTCGAGCGACGGACCACGCATCTTTCCCTTTACTTCTACCAGGAATATTCGCAGAGCTGGAAAGAGACCGGATGGCGAAGGCCGTCACAGAAACGGTTGATGCCATCGAAGGAGCGATCTTCGAGCTTGGCACCGGAAATCCGGTCGAAGGCGAGGAGCTTGTAGAAGAGGATAAGATTGATATGAGACATTCTCGGAGGTCTGCATGGCTGAACACAACGTTTCTTCGGAACAGCTTAAGAGCATGGAAGGGTCAGCTTCGAAAGATGGCAGACCATGTCGCTGAATTGTCCAGTCTTCATAAGGGGCAGCTGATTGATGGAGTTTACGGGCAGCCCAAGTGCGAGGAACTGGATGAAAAGAATAAGTTGGCGCTGGAGAGAACTGGATTAATGATTCAAGATCGACTTCGTGTCCTCATGGAAGACTTCGACGACAGGATTCAAGAGTGTACGATGAGTGTTGAAGGAATGACGATTGCCACGCAATGGGTGAGTTGAACTCTCGCATTTGGTCGAAAGGCTATTTCCTGGTCTATTTCGAAGTCAACTGACTCTTCTCTCAGGCTCAAGGTGACACGAATGTGGACATTGCAACAGCTACTGGCCGCGATTCGAGACAAATGCGTTCGATTGCTTTGGTGACCATGGTATTTCTCCCTGGGACATTCTTCGCAGTACGTCAAATTGTATCTCTCGATACAGTGCTTCCACTTCTATTATGGATCCAAGCTGATGTAGACCAGACGCTATTTTCCATGACGTTTTTCAACTGGTCCCCGGGTGATAACGAGACGTCCGTGGTATCGAGTTATATCTGGATCTACTTTCTTGTGACCGGGGTCTTCACAGTCTCAACACTTCTACTCTGGTGGTACTTCCTTTCATCTCGAAGGAAGAAGTACAGGAGTTGCAGTTTCGGCACATCTCTTTGGACACTTTGAATCAGTAGATTTTGAATGGTTCCACGGTCTTTGTCAGTGAAAAGAGCGTGATCATCGAGACTACCAGAAAATTGCTCCGTGTATCAGACTTAATAAGAGAGCACTTCTCGTAGTCTGGAGTGAGAGCTGCTTGATTATCATTTCATGTATGGTGTTTAGTGGCTTAGAGCATCAACAAATGGAAAGTTACCACAAACATTCAAGAGCTTACCAGAGCAGGTTTGATCTGTTCCTTGCTTCGGACTAAGTGCTTTCAAGCTCAGTAGAGATAGTACTTAGTTATGAGCTGCGAAGAAACCAGTGGGTGGTAAGGTTCTGTGTTTACAGCAGCCCATGAGAACCTACTTTTAGTCCTCTTAAGGTAGGTAAGGTAAGAAAGAGTGATTTCTAAAGCCGCGAAACTTCGCTTCGCCCAAGAACTGGCCAAAGCATCAATAATTTCAAGTACGTGCTTAAATATATAAGTTCAGGAAAGCATTCGTTAATAGGGGGTATCACTCGGCATACGCCAAATTGATTAACAGTATGTGCACTGACAGTTCGCTGAACAGCCTGGCAGCACCAACGCATCTATCTGTCCACGAATCTTGTTCACACCATCTCAGTGACCTTCACACCAATGTCCACAGTTGTTCTTCAAGACTCTCCCCCCAGACTGCCTCTTACAGCAAGCTGTCGGCGCTTCTTGTCACCAAGGTGTCCTCCCTTCAAGACAAGCTCTCCTGCCTTGTCTCTAATCTCGAAGTCATCTGACGCTATCCAGTCTTGCTTAGAGGTCTTCTTCTTGATAATGTCGCGGCCAACCTGGTTCTGTATATCTCTGCGGCCGTTCAGAAGATCGTTGCTCAATTTTCGCCTACGTTTAGTAAGTTGGAGTTGCATCGGTGTCTAGATAACACTTCAAGGTAACTTACGCCTCGTTCCTTCGACGGTGCACCGGCATACTTGCAGAACCAGTCTGCACGTGTAAGTGAGTGAATGATCATCTTACAGTCCTGAAAACTATTAGAGGAGCTTGAACTTCAGCGAAGAATAATTTCCTACGTACCCGAAGATTATCACAGATTGACTGCCATCTGTCTGAGAACGCGTCGAAGTGTTCCCACGTCGAAACTGTCCTTGATCCAGACCAAAGAGGGCGCATGGTGAAACCTTGCTGTTGGTCCATTGCACAGCGCTGATTCAATGTCAGTCAGGGAAAGGGAGGAGGGTTCCACATGTGGGTGGCTGTAACGTACCAGGAGTCTCCAGCACAGCAGCTCGACTTCAACACCAGAAATACGGTGATGAATCACTGCCTCCAGAAGGTCTACAGGAGTATTCTGGTCGTTTACAAGAGTCCAATCGGTCTTGCTCATACCCTTGGGTCTCTCTGGGCGATCTGGACCCGCATCCTCTTCACCGAGGCCTCTGCGACGCTTCCTAGGCTTTTCTGCTACGTCTGGCGAAGAACGTTCCTGTTGAGTGTGTTCAATCTTCCCAAGGCGCTCGCGAGCTTTTCTCAGCTCAAAGAAATTGCTCAAGTCTGTTATGCTCTCAAACAGCTTTTGCACATAGGCTTGTTGAAGCTCCGAAGGAGTCGGCCAAGAAGCGTCGTCTTGAGGAGCTTTGCCAGTTGCACGCTTCACATGGCGCTCTTAGGCATTGTCCATCTCTTTCAACTGCTCCATGTCATGAATCACGCCCTTGTATTGAAAGGCTGGATCAACAAGCAATTCTTCCTTCAACAAGGGGTGTTCATGCTCCATGGAGGCCGACGACTGCGATCCGGCTCTTGTCCCACTAGCCGACACGATGTCGATGGGCGTCCATATTGCAGAAGAAGAGCCAGCGGAATACTGTTTTTCCTGTTCATTGACATACTGAGATACAGGATCCGGTTGTATATTCGATGTTGCTGGCCAGCCGTGGATCGATGCACGCATCTTCGGTGCCTCAATGGCTTCGTCTGCTTTGATAGGAGAGGATGCTGCCACACTTGATATCCAGTTGTGAAATCGTTCAACAAGACCCCAGATATCCGCACGATCAGGGCGATTGTAGAGAAGGGTGTGGTAGAACCCAATGTCTGGGAAGACGCGGAAGTGGTCGTGGTACCGTTAGGGAATGACGTCGTCTACGAAGGTTAGGCTTAATCAGTCTTTGATCCATACAGACATTCCGTCAGGTACGACCAAGGCTAACATACTAAGGAGGACGTCAAATATCCACTTCTTGTCGGCAGAAGGCACTGCAAGATCGTCGATGACATCGAGATCGGCCTGGAATGGTGAGTATTCGTCAGTCGTTGGGGACACTGAAGAAAGAAATTTGGCCATCATATTTTCTTCGTCAGGCCAATGAAATACGTCCGGCGCATTTCCATTGGCGGCGATGTCGAAGTCTGGCGATTCGAGGTTGAACATGTCGAGGGTTGGCGCGTCGAGGGCTGTCATATCAAGATTTGACACATCGAAGTTGAACAAGTCGAAATCGTTCATGTCAAGGTTTACCATGACGGCTAGAGGATATGAGAGGAGGGGAGCGTAAGTCGAGAGACTGAACGGGGTAGGTCCTCGAGAGGGTAACGAACAGTATGAGATCGCGCGGGTCGATTTGCGCGAAAGCCTGCGTCAAGAGAGGTGCGGAAGAGATGGAGAAAAAATAATCTATCGCAGAAAGAGCCTCTATTCAAGGGCCGGCAGAAGAAGGAGACCGCTCAAGGGCGGCTTCAAGTGAATCGCTGGGAATAGCTTCACCTTCGTCTGGTCCTCCACTAGGGCCCGGCGGTTGTGGGCCTAGCCTCACTTCGCCTTGGCCCAAGCTCTATCAGGTGGTCGGATACAGCAAACAAACTCCTTGAAGGATATAAGATGGAGAAAGGTGAAGCTCAACTACTCCCAAATTGGGAATTAGACAAGTTCGCCCCACCCGCGCCGGCGATGTCAGAGGGGATGAACGGAAGCTGAAGTTACTTATGTGCATCCTTGACGCTCAGATTCTGACGGTGGGAGCTATTCTGCTTAGCTGGTCACCAGAAGTACACTCCACGAGAGGCCGGCTGGTTAGGGGAAGGGGCACGCTTCGTCCCTCAGATCTGGTGGATCGCCCGTTGCCATCTTGTGGGCAGTAAGCTCGAGGAGCAAAGTGAGAGGGTGATGGTGAGAGGAGCAGCTCGAGAGCGCCATGGCTCAGACTAAGAAGACATCACTACATTGTGACTGGCGGCTTGTTGTCGTACCAGCTTGACAGGTAGGGGCATTGGAGACGTCAGGGAGGCTTCATATTATATATACACTTCTTCGTCAGTAAGTGGCTATTGGTATCTTACGTCTACTAAGTATGAGTGCGCATTCCATGTGCTTCCTGTAGGTACTTAGCCTATGCTCAATGAAAACAGACTCTTTACATTGTAGATTGGTTTGTAACAACCGAAAATGCACAATCGCTGCTGTCCACAAACAACCGTCTTTCTGTAACTTCCCGCAAGCGCATCAGCCAAGCAAAGCTCATCGCTTCAAGTCTTCACCAGATTCCAGACTTGAGGAGAGTCCCAGCACATAGCAGGAAATCGTATGTTGCAACGAAATGTCACTCTGCAGAATCAACCGTGAAGTAGACCCAGGAAAAGACACCAGACAGGAGCAGGCTCTGGGCTTGACCAGTCGACACAGAACATCGAAGATCACTCGGGCATCATATGATCTGGCCAGTACATGTCGTGTTATAGGCTGATGGAATGACTAAGGTACCTAGTATTCTTCGCATGGAATCTCTCTCACCTGAATCGAGCTAATCAAGGCTTCGAGCCTCTCGGTAAAATCGCGAAACATTCATACATGTACTGAGCACTTTACTCCAGGTGAAGGACTGAGCTCTTCGAGTGATAGAAGCGGTTCCGTATATCTTGCGTATGATTCCCTGAGGAATCATCTCGTTGTTTCCGCGTAAGATATCCGACACAACCAAGCAAGACGTAATGGGTGAGAAAAGCTGAGAGAAGTCGGGCAGTTGGCGGGAGATGTTAGCAATCACTTCAATAGGTAGCTCGCCGAGGGAAGGGGTTTGAGCAAAGCTTTCCACGGCCATACTATTTACTGAAGCAATTGAGTTGTTGGCAAGATCTTTCCTGCCGCGCTGCTTCGGTCAGACACAAGCTTTGGCAGTACGATACAGACTTGTATTGTATTGGGATCTAGCTGTGGTACAAGAGAAGAGGTGCTAGGCCAAACGCAATTCTTCGCGCGGCTCTCAGCTTGCCACGCGACAGTCAACGCGTAGAAGTCGCGTGGGGCAACGCGAAGAAGATACGCAGTAGAGTTTTGTCTATCCTGATAAAAGCCTCAGTCACTCACAGTGTGGGCCAACGTGAAAGACTGTTGCCTCGGAACAGAGTTTCAAACCTGTGTAACTTCACTCCTCTTCATACATGTGTTCTCGAAGCAAAAAGGGCCGTTCCATGTCCACACAATGAAAAAACGCTGGAACGACCGGACCCGTGGGAGCTTCCCCATGCAGAAACAACCCCTTGCAGTGGTGCCGATGTTCGGTTGATGCCGACAAGTTGTGAATCAGCGGTCTTTGGTGCTCGACACTGTGGAGCAGGTTATGCCATGTGTAAAAGCAGTGCTCTTGGTGGAAGCGTAGGTCCGTATAGAGAATCCTTCTCTCGCCAGCCATAAGCACTTGTTCAGATACTGGTTTGATGAGGTTCTTGTCGAATGCCCATGGGCTCATGTTGTATGCGTTGTATGTGCTGACGAGGTCGCCGTTGTAGCACTGGGACGGAACCCAGCCATAGGCCATGACGTCAAAAATGCAGCCTTTTTTCTTTGCTTCGGGGACCGTAGAACCACAGGTGTGTTTTGGAACAGCGTGTTGAGAGGATTCGACGCTCAACAAAGAGTATTCGTGGCTGAAAGCACCGAGTGCGAACAGAAGAAGGATGCTCAAAGCGACCCAGCAAAGAAATCTTGAAAGGTGGCATCGACGTCGGTCTACTGGAGAGTCAAGTTGGTGTCCACTGTGTTCCTTCCCAAGAGGGAGGCCGGCCTCCGGGTCGTCTTGGAAGTTCGTCATGAGGAATCTCCAAAACTGATGAGTGATGCGTTGACAATTCTCGTAGTCTACAGAAAAGATCTTTGATACTCCCGAGAGTCAGTGTCTTTAGATTCTTTGAGAGTTGGGTAGTAGAATTAGAAGCGAGAGAACAGGTGGAAAGACTTCGGACAAGAGGTTTAGGTCCCGAAGCAGGCACAGGGAGGTTGAGATCGGGGCAATCTACCACCTTCCTGTTCCGCGTTGCCGACTCTCTTTCCGCAATTCTCCAAGATATCAACTATCAAGTATCATATTTGTCTCGAACCTCAATGCCGTTAAACTGTTCCTGCCGTGTGTTTAACCACCTTCCCGGCAGCAAACAAACAAGGGTTGCACTGATGAAAGATATCCGCGGCGTTGGCAGGTGCAATATCCTAACTAAGTGTAGCGAGCAATCTTTCCTGGTTGTTGCTAATTCTGGAGATGTTTTTCCGCATTCGAAGGGATCAAGAGCTTGGCAACCATTGATGGCAGTCCCAATATGCATGTTGGTTATTAACACAGCCGTTGGCTTCCTGCCCCCAATCTGGACAGGGCCACCCCTCCGGCCCCCTGAAGAAAACGCCCGCACAAATTACTTCAGTTGGAATGGCCGATCCGCCAACGAGCGGACATTTTCTTGCATACTTGGTAACCTTTGTCAATCTTTTGTTTGCTCTTCACCCGCTGGTGGGTAAAGCCGTTGGACGAACTTGTGGCCCCGGCTTGGATAAGGACGTGCCCTGAACATGGCCAAAATCCGACCCTACGCCATGTGACGGGATCCAACAACAAAGCCAACGCCATGTGGTTTGTTTCACAAACTGCAAACATCACATATATCACATTCGCGCTTATCGCTTCGAACCCCAAGTCCGACGACGATGGTCTTCAAGCTCCGAGCGGGAAGGCAAGATGAGATTCTTGCCGCTGTGATACGGGTGAAAGAAAGGTTTGTTCATGTTACTTCGCGATGGGGGCTGAAAACAGTCTTCGACTCTACTACTTAAGAGCATAAAAGAGGCATCGTTTACTCTCGCCGAGGGAAAGGTCCCAAGAATCCATCTTCATCATCCAAACCCCAAACTTCACCCCCAGTCATAAGCCTCAACTTTTCTCCCAGCCTCACAATGCTCTTCACCCGAGTCTTCCTCCCCATCGCTGCCATCGTGGCTTCTGTCCTCGCTGCTCCGGTTCAGCCCAAGGCAGACCTTGACCCCAGATTTATCTACGCGAGCCCGTCCATTGCTTCGTTCGGCGACGAGGGCCCCGTCGAAGAAGCTACGACCGACGCCTCGACTGACTGTGTTGAATGCTTCTAATTCATCAAACAAGGTAAGGCTTCTCTTCGACATCCTAATCATCAAGATTTCTTTGGCAAATAACTAACATCCAGTTCGTGTAAGGTAGTCGGAACTTGGCTGAAGATTGGGATGCGATGGGCCGTATCACCACGTCCGTGTAATGGCATGGAATGTTCAAGACTCCCCAGCAAATATGGGAAGGGTATCTATCAAAGGGTTAAAGGGAACAAATCACATCACCTTTGTTCCCGTAATACAAATGAATTCGATAATTGATGTAATCTGAGTTCAAAGCCCACCTTTTGAAGTCTCACAGAGTGCTTTTCGTTTGCGTGATTCCGAACGTGTTCATGTGTCCCGACATGATGGCGGTGTTATCTCTACCTTTTTGGTCCGACATGGTTGCCGGCCAAGGGTTTCTTGGATTTCTCTCTACATGTTCAGGGGCTTGACGTTTTCTCGTTACACAGAAGATGGGGGCAGTACTTGGAGGCTCACTGGTCTGGCTGGAAGACGCTGTTCGGATTCGCTACTGACCTATGAACCCATTGTCTTCGGGCGCAAATCCCAGAAAACTGGCGTTGTTTTGCCTCGGAATCAAGAAATTACTTAAGTTTACCACCTTAAACTCTTCCGTAGTGAAGACATCTGTTGCGGTTCTTGAGTTTTGAAGTTGAAAAATGTACAAGCGAGTGTTCTTCTGTTATCTGCCTATACGCAGACACTCTCTGACTTTTGTCAAGCGAACTCAAACGACGGGATACCCCAGTAGAATGGCCTCGCAGGAAATACTGCCTACTCAAGCCCCCTCAAACCAAAGCTCAATCTTCCCAGTCTCCCTATCAAGAGCACTCTGCGCCTTGTTCCAGTGCCCCTTGCCAGCCATAGCCATATTCACACGCTCCGCCTCGTTGAAATCATACCTGACAACGCCTTCCAAGTAATCCTTGTAGCCAGTCCAACTGTGTCGTTTCGCCCACCTCTGAAGGGCACCCAAGTCTCTGCACTTCTGGTGGTGGCTGTGTGAGTTGAACGAAACGTACTCGTCTGATCCCGAGAGTGAAATGTCGGCGTGGCACATTAGGTCGTTCCGGATGTGGTCTACACAGTGCATGGTGTGGATGTCGTTGCGCGGCCATTTCTCGAGTGGGATCTTTGATGTGAGTCTGTTTCTGATGCGGTACTGCTTTTGTTAGTATAACATGGTGGAATATCATGAACTTTGTGACGTACCAAGCAATGAAGTGCGTGAAAGACGTTGATTTGGTAGATTTTGGAAGCCGGTTCATTCGGGTGAGTGATCGTTGCTGGGAGGGCATTTTCCTTTGCCCACTCGCTGTGGACTGAGACTATGCCGTCCGCTGTTCAATTAAAGGTTAGTATTGATCCGGTCGTTGAGTCGTTTAGAGGATGGAGCTTGCTCTTTTGAAGTTCATGCCAGAATGCATCTGCCTCCTCTGGCGAATTATCAGCAGCATCTACAATGTCGTAGGGCTTTGTAGTGGAGTTATATCTCTCGAGAGAAAAGTCTTGAGAAGCAAGTGTAAGCTGATAAGTCTAAGGGATTCATCCATAAGAAGGTGCCTACAGTCCTGCTGGTCAATGCCTTTGGTTTCGGCCCCAGCACTGGTCTGGAAGGTATGGAAGGCAAGGAAACTCAGTCCCAAGATAGGAACTTGGCAGAGAATAAAGACTAAGAAAACCTTCAGATGTGAGAATTTGGAGGGCGAAGTCTCTCCCGTGATAGCCTTTTCGCAGCGGCTGCAGAGGGCGCCATGCTCCATGTCGTTCATCTCTACCGCCAGCAGTTTGGCACCCGTGCCAGACGAGTCTCGGTCCATTACGATGGTGCTCGATGGTAAGAGGGCACGGCGAAGTTCAACTGGTAGAGCAAGACAAATTTTTGAATATTCTCAGGCTGAAAATCCGCGCGAGATTATTGTGTGGTTGAAGCTCATACGTGTGAAGACGACTCAGGACGGGAGTGACGACATGAGTGAACTAAGTTGCTCCAGTTTAGAATGAATTGAATAATGGCTACTGCCTGCTATTGTATATGTGTGATCCTTCCCATTGTGTTGGTTGAGTTATTCGCAAACTCCATCCATCACTTTTCACTTACGACCAGCTAGCTATCAACACCAACACCAAACCTGCATGCCGAGACAGGTGAGGCAGGGAGAACCATCTCCAACTCTCCCATCTGGATTCAAGTCATTGACAATTGACAAGCAACCTGCTTCCAAGCCAACACTATGCTACCGAAGCCTGCGGACTCTTCCCCGAGTCCCCGTCTCGTCCAGGCCAAAGATACCCCCTCACACCTTCACACCCCGGAAAGACGTTTCAATACACCTCTCGCCCCTCGCGATGTTTGCTTAACCCCTCCATGCCCTTCTGTCCCGTGCGACGAAACCCACTTACTTATCTCTCTCAACCCCATCCGAGAGCCGGGACCGGAACACCGGGGCAAGGGTCCAACACCAAAATGTGTCATCATCAATCTACAATATTCAACCAACAGACAAACACTTCCAACGAGCCAATCACAGCCCACAAACATTTGCTGAAGGAAATATACCCTGGATAACACCATACCAAAAAAGTCGTCGACGAGGTCAGAATCATCGTTGGATTCAGAAACACGTCCGCGTTTACCGCCTTTTTGACTACTGTGGTGACGATGTTGGGGTCTGCCAAGGGGCAAAAGTCGTGATAATCGCTTATGAATGGCTTCCAAGGACTTCTAAGGAACGACGCAAACACGATAAGAGTGTGGATATCTGACGGCCCCTTCGTCGTCACGATCGACGAGAGTGAGCAAACACGCTCGTGATCAAGAATTGACAGCGCGATTTAACCGCCTCGTCGGACCTTCCTAGTAAGTTCGTCTTCGTTTAAGAAGGGCACCTCGCAGATGCATGTGGAAGAGTGGATGTCACCATACCAACGGTTTTCCGAGTGCCCGGTTTCTTCAACACATTCGTAACTTCTTTCTGCCCAGCCTTTCTTCTGCATAAACCATACACTGATTTCCTTCGCCAAAGAGGTTTAGGTGACGCCAAAGATCTAGCTCCTCACGATGCCACCCACGGGCCTCGATCGTCTGGCCGGCCTTGTTCGCCCGAGCGAGAAGACTGCCTACGCTCAACTTCAAGGTGACGAGCTGGGACAGACTCCGGAGCCGAGTTCGCGTCGTTGGTCTTGGTCACCCAGCATGTCTCAAGTGCTTCTTTTCTTGATCTCTATGGCTCTTCTTTTCGCTACTGTTGTTCATCATATCCGCGAGGGTGAACACTCCCACAACCAACGGACAAGTGAGAGAAGAGATAAATAGAAACCCTGAATTCATTGCTAACCCATGTCAGATGTGGGAAACCTCGAAGAGATTAGAGGTCCGGTGATGTTCAAGGAGGCCAGCACCTCAGGGCCGTCTCCGGAGCTAGATGCTGCTTGGGATAAGCTCATCGATGAGCGTGAGATTCCCTTCCCCCGCTCACTTCATGGCCCGAATTTCTCAACTTCCTAGGCCGTTTCATGCTCGTTCCCGATGAAGACTTCCCCAAGTCTGAGTTCAGGACCCGAGACCCGCTGAGGGCTTCGACCTCTACTCAGAATGGCACACTTGCTGTATTCGAGTATGTCCACGCCTTGCACTGCGTTGTAAGTACTCCACCCTCTCCCAGCGTCAGTTGAAGATGACTGACCGCCCCAAGCACTTGATGTGGAAGCAAACGTACCCCGAGTACTACAAAGAAGACCACTTGAAGATGAAGAAGCACCCAAACTGGCAACATGCCCACATCAGTACGTCGGGCTTTCCCACTTCCGTAATGAGAGAGAGCTAACAACGTATACAGACCACTGCGCGGACTTCTTGAAGCAGTACATCCTTTGCAACGCCAACTTTGCTTTCAACACGTACTCCTTCAACGAGACCCGCGGCGGCGCTGACGTGGACATCGTGTCATCGCACACGTGCATCAACTTGGATGCCGCGGACGACTACGCGAACCGACACTACGTCAACCGTTCTGAGCTGGCCATGGCTACAGGCAAGGAGATCACCGCTGATGTCTTTTGAAGTGTTGATGGCGGGGTTTGAATCAGGAATACTTCGTGAGAAGATTGGAATCCTGCTCAGGCTTTACTAGAAGCAGATCTGAGCATGAACCAAGGGATCACATTGCGAGCATGGAGGTTGCATGTAATCACTGTACGCAGATAGAAGCACAAGTCTCGAGAGAAATGCCAGATGACTTGTCAGGGTATCTCTATGCCTGCTTTTGCCGTTCCGCGTACCCATTCGCGGAACCTTCCTAAGCAAACCATGTGTGACCTCACCACCGAAAACCCAAAACGCCGGCCGGGCTGGATATACGTAACCAGCACATCTTTGTAAACAGACATAGAAGGTAGTTGTGACTACCACTGGCGACGTCCTCCACGGCCTCTGCCGCCAAATCCGCCGCGGTTGCCGCCTCCCATGCCCTGCTGGTCGTAGCCTCCGTACTGTCCCTGATTACCACCAAAGCCCTGGTTGAAGTTCTGGCCCTGTCCGCCCTGGCCAGCGTTGCCAGCCTGGCCCTGCATGCCATTGAACATGGCCGACATTGTCGAGGGATCCATCTGGCTGGGATCCATGCCCTGACCCATCATCTGCTGCATCATGGCTTGCATCTCAGGCGGCATACCTTCCATGCCACCCATTCCTTGCATGCCACCAGCCTGCGCGTTGCCGCCAGGTGCGGCGCCTCCACCGGGCATGTTCATTCCGCCCATCATCATCATGCCAAAGTCCTCCATCATCTTCTTCTGGCCGGCGGCAATGGCGTCGCCGCTGAACTCGCCGCGAACGGCCTCCTGCTTGGCAGCGTAGAGGGCCCAGGTGAACTCGTCGAAGCCGTAGTTGAAGTAGTCGCTGATATCGGTACCGGGCTTGCGCCAGGGCTTCTCGTTCTCGGTCAAGTCTACGCAAAACTGTTAGCCACGCGACGCCATGGAAGGCGCGAGGGAGTGGTGCTTACCTTCGTCAATGTTGACCGCCGTGATGGGCTTGCCGACAGGAGGGTAGTCGGGATTCGCGTTGACATCGATCGTAGATTTGGAAGCCGCGGCGGCAGCCTTGTCGGCGCTGGGGATGCCGAGAGGGAGGTCGGAGGGCGAGGCTCTCGCAGAGTCTTCCTCCTTTGCTGGGGCTGCCTTGATCGCCATGTCGTTGGAAGCTGACCTTTGTGGGATGTTTCTGATGTCGCTATAGCGAGATTGTCTGTTGTTTGTGTGAGCGAAGGCACAGAAAAGTTTCATGTCTTTGTAGGTGAATAGAAATTAAGACGTACGTCGGGGGTGCTGCCTTTGTGCCATCTTTGCGCTCGGTGATGATGTCGATATCCTGGAGAAAGCGCCAGAACAGTCAGTCGCCGATTCACAAGTACAAAACGGGAGCTTGAGGCCCTGAAATGGTGCAAGGTAGGATATGTACCGAGTCATCTTCATCTTCATCCATGGCGCCACCCTCATCTTCCTCTTCGCCCTCCTCGAGCTCTTCTGACTTGCTCTCCGGCGCCTCTACTTTTGGCGACGGCTCTTTTGGAGGGACAGCAGCATTTTCGGCTGTTGTTGTGCTTGTAGTGGTCTGCTCGGTGGGCTGCTCATCCGCGTAGAAATCGTCATCCTCATCGATGTCCATTGTAGCTGTGTTTACGTTTTACGATGTCGTCGGCAATGTTACAACAAAGTGGTGGAAGAAGTGGTTGTGGTGGAGGTGGGAATGGTCGTGCGGGTGTTGGTGATGCAGCTTTTGCGGGTTGCTTCGCATTCAATGGTTTGGCGCCTGGAGCTCGAAGCTCTGGCGCGCCGAGAGGACCACCGAGAGGACCACCGAGAGGGCCACGGCGGGCACCACACAGCAAGGGCCGTCCAGGCCGCGGACAGTATGCGCCACAGTCGGGCGCATTAGATAATCACCAGCCACATGGGGTGGATCTTGACGGCCCACAATTGAGCTCGGGGGACGGTGAAAAGGGAAGCCGACCAGCCAATGAGAAACCGTCGCATTTTATCAAGGCGGACAAGGCAAAACTCGCTGGAAGAGCTATCAAAGCTACTCATGGCCCGAGCGCCAAAGCAGCAGCCAATTCTTCCGCGTCGAAGACCGCGAAGCAGCAGCCAGGAGCAACAAATAATTTAACCAAGGAAGGCCATCACCAACCGAAACCATTTTCCCCCGAATCCCCGGCCTTGAGGACTCACGCGCCTACGCCTTGCAAGAACACACTCGAACAGCCCAATCTCGGCGCACTCGAAGAAAAATTCAAGATGTTTGGACGACCGGCCGGTGGCTTGAGCATCAACACTGGTGCCGCTAATGCAGGGTGAGTTGAGAGTCATGTTGTATACTACTCATTGTAGACTCGTCAAAGCTAACGACGATGCCAATATTTCCAGCACCGGTACTGCTACGACTTCCGCACCTGGCGGAGGACTCTTTGGAAGCTCGACGGTGACGACACAGCCTGCTACCGGTGGTCTTTTCGGCGGCACTTCGACGGCAGGAGGAGGACTCTTTGGCAACAAGCCTTCAACACCACAACAACCAGCGACCGGCGGCCTCTTTGGCTCGGCACCCGCACAGCAACCGCAGCAACAACAAAGTGGCGGGGGCCTCTTCGGAGGGGCCCAGACTCAGCAGCAGCAGCAGCAGCCTGCACAGCAAACCGGAGGATTATTCGGAGGGGCTGCGACCCAGCAACAACAGCCTCAGCAGCAGCAAAGTGGAGGGCTTTTTGGTGCAACCCCCGCGAAGCCGGCGACGGGCGGTCTCTTTGGTGGGAGCACAGCGCAACCTCAGCAGCAACAGCAACAGTCGACAGGAGGAGGTCTCTTTGGCGGCGGCAACACACAGCAACCCCAGCAGAACCAAGGCACGGGCGGTGGTCTCTTCGGACAGAGCCAGGCTCAGAACCAGCCGAAGCCCGGTGGTCTGTTGTAAGTGGCATCCCTGGAAGGCATTGGGCCTGTGATTAACAAGACAATACAGCGGCCAATCTCAGCCCGCAGGTAGCTCTGCTCCCGGCTTAACTATGGGTCAGTCGACGACTCAGCAAAGCGTTCCTGGCGTACGGGTAGACATGTCAAATATCAAGGGCACAACGCGGTTCAATGACCTCGAACAATCCATCCAGGCCGAAATGGAGAACTGCGATCTCATGATCCAGCGCTTCATGGCACACGCATCCGAGATCCGAGGCTTCATGGCTGCTCACGGCGGCGATCTCGCACAACTTACCAACGACGTCAACTGGCTCCAGCGCAAGTATGAGGGCGTCAAGACGACGTTGGACGAGGATATCGTCACTCTTGGACACCTCAAGGACCTGGTCAAGTCTGACGCGGACATTGCCAAGATGGCATTCGCCGGCGCCGACCAGCTCAAGCTCCCCGCACACTACCACCAGACTTGGCTCACACGCGGCGGATCGGGCGGCAACACGACCAATGGCAACCAGGACCGCAACCTCGAGGACGTGCTCACTCTCTTCTCCAACGAGGCCGATCGCCTGAAGGAGCTCAGCCAGTTCCAGGTTCAGAAGATCAAGGAGATGGAGCAGCACATGCCTGGCGTCGAGCACGGCCTCTACGAGCGTGTGCGATCGTTGCGAGACCAGACACAGGTGCCGGCCTTTAACATGGTCCTCGACCTGCTGGAGACGATCAAGATGATGGGTGACAAGATTTACGAGGCGGCGGGTAGCATCGTTGATGTACGAGAGAAGCTCACTCAGCTCCAGCGCCAATACCCCACGAAATGAGAGAGTAGAAACGAGGCAGAGATTGTCCTTGTGGATACATACGCAGGGGGGGAGGCCACGGTCCAGGGAAGCAAACGGCGTTCAGGTTGGGGAAAAGAATTATATACCGGCAGCATTGGCGAAATGAAGCATTGATGGCTCTCGGGCAATTATGGCCGTGGATCAGGGTTGTAAGGTTGTAATGCTTGGATATTGAGATCCCAGAATGTGATGGACTAAGGCTGCTTCACTCATGATGGGAAGTGAGGGCTGCGAGAGGCGGGTTGATGGCCTGGATGCGCAGGCCGGCTTCATAGCAATCAATGCCTTGCGAAGAGGATGAATCATCATCATCATCGTCCCGATGGCCATAAACGATTCGTCCTCGGAGTCGTACATCACAGGAATAGACGAGATGAATATTCATCAGCCTACTGTCCCTCATACTCAGGCCTAAGGCCTCATTCGTCAACCAAGCCCAATCGATCCCCATGGTCAAGCGGTATAACGCCCTGGTCCTTTAGTACAGAACTTAGTATGAAATCTCGAGGAGTCAACGGATGGAGGATTTCGTAGGGGTCCAGTTCGAATCACAAACTGGGCACCCGAGCCCCGAGCTTTTGCCTTTTGGCCTCTTTTTACAGGATTGTCACATTCACATATCCCTTGATGTCAAACAGTGAAATGTAAGTGTGTGTATATTGTATTCTCAACCTCGATATAAGGTAATTGATGGGGTATCAGGGAGCTGTAATCCGCTCAGCAAAGCCGTTCATCCGCCCAAAAACGCCCGGTGATGCCTCTCGTGTCTCGTCCGTTGGTGACAGTTGTGTCTGAGGTAGTAGCAAACAAAGGCCTCTGCGCAAATCCCTCCGCCTTTGCCACGTCCGCCGCCGTCGTCGCCATGACCGTAGCCATGGCCGTACACTCTCAGTAGGTAGATATAACCCACCCCAAGATCAGTACGACCCCTCCCGACCACCATGCTCATCATCTCCGCCCCCATCATCCTCCCCAAACTCCCCATCATCAAAGTAATTCTCCGCGTCATAATCGCCAGCATCAGAATCATCATACTCAACATCCTGCTCCTCCTCCCCGCCCTCCTCCCACTCCTCTTCCGCACCCTCACCCTCACCCTCTCCCATCCTTTCCAGCGCCTCCAACTGCTTCTTCGCTCCATCCGGCCCAACCTCACCATCCTCATCCCCCTCAGCGTGAACATGAAACACATCCTCCGCCGTAGGCAACGCCGTAATCCTGCTGAGTCTCAACCTCTTCGCCTCCCCGCCCCTCCTCTTCTCCCCAGGAGCAACATCATCCCCATCAAGCGTCTCATGCAACTCTTGCGGAAAGAATTCCTTACAGAAAGGACGTCCACCAAAGTCGGGCAGTGCGCGCTCTGGGCGGGTGAATTTCTGCGAGTATGTCGGGACCGCATTAAACGGATCCGCTGTGGCGCGGGTGCGCACGCCGTATTTGGCATTGACTTGTTCTTGGCCGTAGAGTTTGCGCGTCTTGGTTGGGTCCATGCCCCAGGTGCGTTTGCGGGTGTAGAGGGGTCCGTCTTGGAATTGGCGGCGGAAGAGGAGGAAGGCGTTTACGTTTGCTTGTTCGTGGTCTGTTACTGGTTTCGCTGTCGGGATTGCGTAGGCCTGTGGTGGTGGGCATGTCAGTGATTGATATACTTGAAGGCTAGAATATGTCAGGGAGTGTGTACGTACGGGGAAGAGCTCTGAAGGTCGTGTATCGGGTGCGTGTTCGCCGTTGTCCCAGGATAACTGGGGGCCCTGGCGACCCCCGCGCCCGCCGCGGCCACCACCTCTACCACCCCGCGACATTGTATTCTGTCTCTGTTGTGTCTGTAGGTCCTCGTGTGCAATTGAGCTGGTGATTGAATCTGTAAGGGCAGTTGCTGGGTCGGAAGGTTATGGATGTGCAAAGGATGCGTCAGAGCGAGAGTGGGTGTGGTGTTTGGTGATAGTTGAAGTCAGCCTCTCTTTTTTTTTTTTTGTCTCCGAAAAAGACCCCAAAGGTTGCGGTTCGGTTTGGGACGGCGCTGCAGTGCATCGACAGCCTTGAGTTTTTTAGCGGGGTCCCATCCCGCACCTCGCACCTGCAGTGCGGTGGGTGACGCGCTGTTGCCCCGCTTACCGGCGCTGTCAGGCACCGGTGTCACCCCGGGGCCGTTCAGATCTCGGCTCCGTCTCTAGGTACCTTGATGTGAGACTGTACCTCCCATCGGCGTGGGTACAAGATTAGGTATTCATGGCTTAATAGAAAATCAAACATTGCACTCCATTAACCAGGCAAATACCTCGCCATCAGCAGCTTCGTCACCCATGGTTTCCTAAGAATACTCAAGGCACCTGAGGTACGAAGCTCCCACACGCACGCAGGTCCACGCAACCAGCAGCCTGTCACTCCTCCTTATCTTATCTTAGCGTCCGGGGACCCTTAAACCGAGCTTCCCTCTCTTTCCCCCGCCATCTCCAACGCTCAACATCGACAGCTTCCCAAGCTTCACAATTCCGTCGCAAACACCACCACGGCTCCGTCACCACACGATACTCAGGACAACGGCAACGACAACCATCCACCGATGACAGAACGCATCGTCCCCAACATGTCCACCAACTCCGTCCCCATATCCGGCCTCGCCGAGCTCGAAAAGCACCTCGACGACCTCGTCGCCTCCCCAGACACACCCCTCGAACCCAAGCTCCTCGACGATGTAGAGCTTCAACTCAATGGTCAGCCCGCTTCCTCTCTCTTCCCATCCCTCCCCCTCGGCTTCTCTCTCACATCCATCCTCTAAATCAGATACTAACTACCTCGTCAACAGAAACAAACATCCCACCCCTCCTCCCAGTCCTCCTCCCCCCCCTAATAACAATCCTCAAAACCTCCCCCCACGACCCAAAGCCCCTCGTCTCCCTAACAATAAAACTCCTCTCCCCCGTCCCCTTCACCCAAACCCTCCAACTCGCAGACGAATCCTCCCTCCTAACAGCCCTCCGCTCCCCCTCCCCGCACGCAAACCTCCTCGCCCTCGCCATCCTCGCAAAAGCATCCGCCTCCCCCTCCGACGCCGCAATCCTCTCCCTCATGCCCCGCGTCGTCGAAGAGCTCCTCCGCCGATGGCTCTCTAGCCCACACGTCGAGGTCGGGGAGCGCGCGGGCCGCGTGTTGGGTGATTTACTCGACGTAGACTGCGAACTCCCGCCGCCGAGTACCTTACCTAGCTCATCTGCAACAGAACTCGTGAAGAGGAGAGCGCCGGGACAGGGAAGGATGTGGCGCCGCATCTTCCACGATAAAGAACTCTTCGGCCTCGTCCTCTCCCTCGCAAAAGGCATCGACCCTTCCCCCTCCCCGACCTCCGACCAAAACGAGGGACCCGTAACCCTCTCAGAGCGCCAACTCTCCCTAGTCCAAGGCCGCATCCTCCGCATCCTCCCACGCCTCGCGGCCCTGAACATCGTCGAAGTAGGCGTCTCGCAGTTCCCGGACCTGATGGGCTCGTCCGAGGTCGGTCTCCTGCAGCTGGCGGCGCTGCACATGGTGGATAAGAGCGATACGCTGATGCACCTGAACCTCATTGATTTTTTCGAGACGTTGTTGAGCGTCATGCGCGTGGTGGAGCACTCGCATCGGACGATGGGTATCTTGAAGGATCTGGTGAAGCAGGCGACCAGGGACGATAATCTTTTGAAGAATGCTCTGCGTAGTCTGCCGGATCGGACTGTACCCGAAGAGTCGGAGTCACTCAGAAACTTCATCAGAGACGTATTAGCTTGAGACACATGGCACACACCTTGAGATTTAGCAGGAAGCAAGGAAGGCGTTTAGGGGAAACACAAAAGGGACATGATGACCGGCAAGCACGGAATAAAACAACTTCTGTTAATAATAGTTCGACGTCGGTCGATCACAGGCCCACCAAGAAAGGGGGGTGGACGGTGAGTGGAATACCTCAAATATGGACACGGAACTGCGCAAAAACCACCCCCTCGACGATCCGAGCCGGGTCGAGTAATTTTACATGGAAAATAACCCCCTCCTACAGTCTATCCATTACGCCATCCCCATGTGCGTGCGTGCTCTGCCGTTTTTTTCATGTTTCCTCCAAAATAAGCTCCACGAAGAATCAACGCCTCATTCTCGCCGAGGCATCGCCCTCGGGCCCGTCGACTGTGTTTTCCGTGGCACTGCTGATGATGCTGTCTCTTCGATCCACCTCCACCTTGGTCATCCCCTCAATACCGAGGCCAACCTCGCCAACGCGTCTCAGGACAAGCAAGAGCGCCGTCCTGAGCTCCGAAGTAAGGTCCTTGCCGAGGAGCTCCACAGCCATGACGTAGAATTCCTTAATGTGCTTCTGGAAGGCGTCCACAGGGAAGGCCGCGTAGCCCTCGAGGACGTCAACCACCACAGGCCGCCAAGCGACAATGTTGCGGTGCTGGCTGTCCTCCTCGAGACCGACAAAGTCCTTGATGATGCTCTTGCACAGGGGCACCAACGCCTGCTCAATGGCATCGCGTGCCGCCGTGCGCTCGTGGCTATCGTCTGCGTACATGCGGAAGAGAATGGCGACGTACGTAGCGGCCGCTCCGCTCTCCTGCTTGAGCAGGTTGGGGGCTTGCTTCATGAATCCCTCGCGCCACAGTCGCATGCGGAGCTCCTTGTCCGCATTGAATTTTCTCGCAAAGAGGTACGACCTCTTGAGCAGTGCCATCAGTCGAAGAAGCTCCGTTGTCGGAATCTGACTGTATACGGTGTCGTTGCTGAAGAGCTCGTTTACCGTCTCGATCATGAGCAGCTGTAGCACGCATCTAGAGATGATTCTGTTGAAGTAGCGACGACGAGCCGCTGTGACCACCACCGGCTGCTGCTGCAAGTTTGACGTTGGCTTGAACTCCTCTAGCGGTGGTTGGGATTGAGGTGCGACCGGAGCCGTTGGCGTCTTCAGGTCGTCCTCGTTGATGCTTCCGAGGTGTGCATCACTCGAGTTGCCGTCAGAGTCTCCGTTCTTTTCTGCTCCGTTGATTTTCAAGTTGTCTTCCTCCATTGACGTTTCGGTAGGACTGAGGGGGCCCGAGAACTCCAATCCGTTTGGCGGCATGTCGATGGATGCTGTTGAGTTGATGGTCGTCGCGGAAAATAGCTGGTGAGCAGTCGTGCGTGCAAACAGCTCACAGAACGCCCCCACGATCTTGGCCCAGTGCTCGGCTGTAAACTTGGTGACATTCTTCAGGATGAGCTGCTGCAAACAGTTGCTGCCGATCCTGGAGATGGTGTCGTTTTCTTGGCAGATACAAAGAGCCAACAGCTCCAAGAAGCGGTCCAACATGTACTCCAATGCGTCAAAGTAATGCGTGAACAATGTGATCATGTTTCGGAGTGCTTGAATCATGGTTGTGGACAGCCAGACAGATAGCTCCTCGTGGTTGAGTGCATTGTTGAGATCCGGCCGCGACCGCAGCACCATGAAGATGGGGTAAAGCTGCTGCCGCCAGAGAATGTCCCAAAAGTCTGGTGGGAACTCGCCGCCGTACTTGAGGAGGGCCTCGAAGAAGTACTCAAGCGCGTTCGACCGCACTTCGAGATCCTCACCCGTCATCAGCACATCGTGGAAGGCGAACAACACCGGGAACCAGTATCCCTCCTCCACCGACGTCCGATTCTGTGATCTCTGCAGTGTGTCCGCTGCCGATGCCGTATGTTCCCCAGTGGCGTTCTGTCCCTTTTGCGACAGTGGGCATTCCGGTGTCTTGAGCATACGGGGGATGATTGACTTCAAGCTCTCGAGCGCCTGCAGACTCTTCTTCTGGAATTTCATGTTCTTGGAGAACTCGGTCAAGCAGACAATCAAGTCGGTGAAGGCGCCTTGCGAGATAACGACGCCGAACTTGGTCTTGTAGACCTGGGTCACGTTCTCATACGCAAGATTCACGATGCTCTCGTTTGTCTCACGGGCAGCTACCGTGAAGACACCAAACATTGTCCTCCATCCAGAGCGAATGTTGTCGCCTCTGGCTTGGATCATTTGAATCAAGCAACGCAATACCATGTCCTTGACAGCAATGTTTTGGGAGTTTGCGAGAACGTGTTCGAACGGCTTGAGGAAGTCTTTTTGGAACTTGAAACCAGCCAACTCCTCGAGCTCCATGAACCGCATTGACAGTTGGCGAAGCGAGTCCAGGGCGAAAAAGACAATGGTGATGTTGTTGTGGCATCCTACTCGGTTGAAATGGTCTCCAAACACGTCCCAAATGTTGCTCCACTCGAAACGCACACGCGTCATGTTGTAGTAGGCAATCTCGACAATCTTCTGCAGACTGTACGTTCGCGGGGAGTCGTTAGAACCGGACACCTTGATCTCATCCCAACTGACTTCTGTCAAGGCCTTTGCGAAGTGGACGATAGCCTCTCCGTTGAGATTGCCCGTGTTGGTAAATATCCTGTCAACTGCCTTGATCACCTCGTCCGACCGACTCTCCAGCGCAATTTCGTTGGAGAAGCCCTGCGGGCCGGTGCCAGACCTTGGACGGCCACCTCGCCTCTTGGACTGGGTGGAGGATTTAGAGTCGCTGGTGTTTTCCCGTTGTGGAGGCATGAATCGCGCCTTAGACACATCGGGAACGACGCTTTCGTCCACGCCGCCTGTGATCAGCTGTAGGCGATCAAGTTGGCTGATGCACATGAGGACGTCCTTCCACGATGACCGCAAAACGTTGCCTTCGGTTTGTCCGAGCTCGAGAATGACCTTGAGGGCCTCCACATTCTTAGCCATCATCTCCTGCGGGTTGTTCAGGTTGGTGGTGTTCTTGAGAGCGGACACAAAGGCCTCCCGTGGCGTTGACAGGTCAAAGACACACGCAATTTTGGTTGCAAGTTTCATTCCCTCGAGGCATAACTTATTGATCTCAAGGTTATGCGTCTTCTGCATCTGACTTGACAAGGCTGAAAAGTACGACATCCATGTGACGTCGAACATTGGGCCGATGTGCTGGAAAGAAGTAGCGGGAATGAACCTGACACCAGACCGCTGGGCGTTTCGTCTCTGGTTCTTGTATAGAGTTTTGAAGAGCTGCTCTGATCGTAACGCAATCTCTTCTGATTGCTGCAGGTAGGCTTCTCGTTGCAGATCTCGGCCCATGTTTGACAGGGCTTGACCGAGGCCAGCGGCAATACCAGTCGATGGTGGCGGGACAGCGCCAGCCGCAGCCGCAGCCTCACGTTCACTCTTGAGAACAATCTCGTTGCTCGCAATTTCATCATAGATGGCCAACAAGTACTCATCCGGCAAATCAGCATTGTCGTTGATGCCGCGGTTGTTCTTGATAAACTCTTCCTTGCTCATGCGCTTGGCGATTTTGCTGCTGTGCAAATCGGTGTTGAGCATGATGACAGAGTACGCAAGTACGTAGGCTGTATCAGCGTTGGCAAACGCGTTCGGATTGCCCATCACGTAGCGCTCAGCAAACTTCAACATGTAACGATCGATCTTCTGCGCCTCTCCAGGGAGTCGGAAAGACTGGAGGAACGTCCGCAGCGCATCGACGAATCTCTTCTTGGTGAATTCCATGGCATCGACAAAAGCGTGCATGGTCTCGATGTTCTTGGGGTCGCCTTCTCCCAAGTACTCACCGATCTGCGCCTTGTCCAGACGCTCCTCGGTGAGCAGGAACTTGGCGACATCTTGCGGGCTGTCGCTCGGGATCAAGCCGTTTTCGATCAGGAGCTTGATACCCCTTTTCGGTTTGAAGTTGAACTGCTTGACGGCGTTGTTCATCGCCGTCTTCCTCGCCTTTGCCTTTTCAAGCGACGCCGGATCGTCCTCCATGACGGGCGTTGAGGGCGCAGGGGTTTCAAAACGAAACGGATTGTCGTACATGCTCGGATCAATCGAAGGGCGTACATCTTCGGAAGTTCTCGTTTCGCCATCTGGCCTCACCCCGTTGGTATCTTGGCGGACTGCGGCGGACCAATCCACCATTGATCTGAGAGAATCCACCAAGGCGTCCAGGGCCACACGCTTCATGACATATTCCTTGGGAATCTCGTTCTCAGGCTCGGTGTGGGGTGTGATTTGCGCGACGGAAAGAGGCGGGGGCAGAATGGCTCTCAGCTGCCACTCCCCTCCTGAAGTACTTTTGGCGCCCCGTTCCTCGTATTGCTGCTCTTGAACGGGTGTTACCGGAACTGAAGCTGTTGAAAACTTGGACAAGTCCTCGATGATGGTCTGGAAAATGTTGTCTACACTGCGCTCGCAATCGTAGTTGAGATATGTCTCCACCAAAGCCTTCGAATCCGCGCAAAACCTGTTCAAGATGTTGACGACGTACACCTTTTGAGAGATGGGAGCTGTCCGCCGTGCCAGTAAGGCGAGGTATATTTCGTTGAGAAATACTGCGATTTCCAGCTTGAGAAAGTGTTAGCACGACGAAATGCAGTCAAAAAGTCCGAGCACCAACCTTAAAGGACTCTCTCATGTACTTGAGCATCAACCAGAAAATCTCGCAGCAGACATCAAAAACGCGATCGACGGAGCTTGCTCCGTTGCGCGTTATGCTAAGACACAAATAGAACTTGACTGCTTGAAGAAAGGTCGTGGGCTCGTTGCTCTTGGAGTTCATAATGGTACACAGAGGAGAAGTGAAGACGGCAATGTTGTTGTTGAGGAGGGTATGGATAAGGTGAAGTGAGATGAGCTTCGAGCGCATGGGCTGGCCGCGAAAGTCGTAGAGCTGGTCGGGCGGCAGCACTTTGGTGGAAAGGTTGCAGAAGGATCGGAAGACTAGGTAGGCGTCCTTGATGTACACCTCGTCTTCGGCGTCCAGTGCTTCGGGACTGTCTTCAAGGGACGACTCAGGGGTGGACTGCTCGGATACGGATCGTGCTGCTTTCCTTCCGGGCTTAATCTCCGTCACCATTGTCGGGCCGTCACCCAAGTGTGAATCGTCGAAACTCTTTCGGTGCTCCAAGTCCTTGAGTGTGAGCTTCCCATTGCCATTCTCTTTGCTTTCAGCCGGAGTCTTTTCGGTTTCGGAAATAGGGGCCGTGGTAGAATCGTCCTCTTCTTCATCGTCTGCCTCTTCATCTTTCTCTTCTGCGATGGTGGTGCCATTGATAGAATCGCCCTGCTCAAAAGTGATGTTGCTCGAGCTGTGTTTCAACTTTTCGAGGTTGACGCGGGCTTCTTTCATATGTAACCTTGTCTTTACGCGCTCGAAGACGGTGCCAACCATTTGTGTGAGTGTTCCTTGGGCCATCTGCTGGTTCGCAGTGCTCCTCGACAGGAGGAAAACATTATAGACTTGGCGAACGGCCTTGAGGAGACCGGCGCCGTGAACGACAATCTTGTCATTCAAGACAGCGGCCAAGAGCGACTTGACAATCTGGAGCTGGACCTCGACGCCGGTTGTCTCCCCCTGGAAGCAATCGCAAATGGTATCGATGGCTCGCTCGATGAGGGGGGCTCTGTCGGCGGGAGCATCTTGCTGGCCGTCTGCTGTGCTCGGCAAGCTGAAGTAGGAGTATGATATGAGCTTTCCGATGCAGTCGAGGGCGCCGGTGACTAGTTGGACATTTCCTGTGCGCGTTGCCAGTTGCAACGGGGCGAAGACTATTTCGGGATCCGGGAAATTCGGATCGCTCTCCTTGATGGCAGTGAGCGTCTTTTGGAGAGATTCGGTGAGCTGCTTGTTCCTCTGGGCCTCTTTGGAAGCGGCAATGGCCTCCAGAGAGGAGACGAGGAATTGAAGGGAGCTCATGGGGGAGCACTAGAGACACCAAGTGCCATTCGCGAGTCGAGGGACGGTTCGTGATCAGGAGAGGTTTCGAGAAACAGTCGACACGCCAATCTAGAAGTCTTGCAGCAGCAAAGGTAATGGCAAGGTATGTAGGTAAGCAGGGCCGGGCATCGAGGGGCGCATGCGCATATGCAGGCCGACGTGGAGAGGACGGGAAAGCAAGGGGTGGGCCCCAGGTTGAGGTGTACTAGTTCGGTGGTGTATCCGGCGTCTTCGGAGACGGCAGCATCGATCCTCGGGAGTCGTGGCAGTGGAGGATTGTGCTAGTGGCTATGGTGGCCGTGGTTGTGGTGATGATGGGATTCCAGGTTGGTGATGGAGTCGCCCCAGCTTCTCGAGAAATGCAATACGAAGCAGCACCGCTATATGCTGTAGTCTGTCAGTCCTTGCGAATTGGACAGCACAGGCAGACGGTAAGATGGAGATGGCAATGACGGTCCAAATTTCTTTGAATGGAGGGACCCCTGGCTCTGTCCCACGCTTAGCTTGGGGAATGGGACCTGGCACTTGGAGCTACTTGATTTCCTGTGCTCGTCTTGATAGTTGACACTGTGAGCTGTTCGTGCAGAGCTGCTCGTAAGGCGAGGAAACTCTCAAGCTTCGTTCGAACACTGTGTGATGAAGATGGCGACACTGTAAGCCGAGGTGGCCCTGGTCGATTTTAATGTAGCTGCTGGCTGCATGGAGCGTTCTCTTTTCTGAAGGAGGACTCCAGCCAGTCAGTCGACGGGACCATCTGGTTTACGTGGCGGACTGAGCCAAGGCGTGGCCAGGGAGCGGCCACCTCTTCGTGTTTAATTGCCTTATGTCAGCAATTGGAGATGAAGCACAGGCCGTGTAGATGTGGGGCCATGAGGCTGAGGTAAGCGAAGTGGCATCCGTGTTCTTTTGGCCTTCTTTTTTTTTTTTTTTTTGCCAACGTCGCGCCTCACGTCTTATCGGTGCCTTGTCTTATCTGCTCTTATCAAAGGTCACGTGTCGATGCGCTTACTTGCGGCCAATCACCCAATGAATGGAGCATAATCACCGCAGACCCGCACTGCTCTCAACATTGTCTGTTCTCATTGGACACGCGGTCTGTGTTGTAGTCGTGAGGTCCCTTGTTTTCCCGGGCTATTCCCACTCCACCATCTCAAGTCCGAAAAATTCCTTTGGCCTCTCGGTCTTAATCAAGACCGCCCAGCGAGCAAAGCGATCGCGGACCCTGTTGGCCCATTGGCGTTAAGCACCGGCCACAATTATCGGCGAAACTAAGTGCCTCCTGCCCACACCTGCCCTGTGCCTTGGGTGAAGACCAATAGGGTACCTATGTAGGTATGCTACAGGGCGCTGCTGTCCACTGTGTCCAGGCCTCACCCAGTGCCCTCAGTGAGCCAACGTGCGCCTAACGGCCGTCCCTCCCTGCGGCGTATTTTGTAGGGACGCGCTAGCTCCCATTTCGGCCTAGCGCCCCAAGCTCCATCCAGCGACGGAGCTCAACGCAAAAAACTCCAGCCCCAAGGAAAGATTCCCGTCCGACAATCTCGAGCATCAACCTCGTCGTCCCAGAATAATCCCGCGTCGTCTTCCGTCTTTCTTCTTTCTCCCTCCCCCCCCCCTTCTCCTCGTCTCGTGCAATCCGTCATTCAATTGCCCGCAGGCTTCAATTGTTCGACGTCGAAGGTCCTTCTTTTGTCTAAAAGGATCATCCTCTTGAATCGTCGCCCCCCGAGCCCGGTCCGCCGTTCAACCATCGCCAAATTTCTCCCTGCTTTCGCGCCGCCCGCGAGAGCTATTTATTCACCATGATCTCCTCAGTCCTGAGACGGACTGTTCGTCCGAATGCCCTCCTCCGCAGCAACCTCTCTTCCCAGATCCTGAGATGTTACGCCTCTTATCCCCCGCACACCATCATCAAGATGCCCGCTCTGTCGCCCACCATGACGGCGGGAAATATCGGATCTTGGCAGAAGAAGGCCGGTGACACCATCGCTCCCGGTGATGTCCTGGTCGAGATCGAGACCGACAAGGCCCAGATGGACTTTGAGTTCCAGGAGGAGGGTGTTATCGCCAAGCTCCTGAAGGAGTCCGGTGAGAAGGACATCCCCGTTGGTAACGTACGTACACTCCGATAGATGAATCCCAATTCCCCTCGTCGAGTCCGGCCGGCGCATTTCACCATCATCCCCATCATCATCAACGCCGCTACCAACAACACCGCCATGCTGTACGCGCAAACTGACCCGTCCTTCACAGCCCATTGCCGTCCTTGTCGAGGAGGGCACCGATGTCAGCGCCTTCGAGGGATTCTCCGCCGCCGACGCTGGTGGTGAGGCCAAGCCCGCCCCCAAGGAGACTCCCAAGAAGGAGTCCGAGTCCGCCCCTGCCCCTGCCCCTACCCCCGAGCCCGAGAACTCCTCCGACGACTTCAACAAGCCCGCCGGCAAGCTCGAGAACGCTCTGGACCGTGAGCCCAACGCCTCCTTCAGCGCCGTTCGCCTCGCCAAGGAGAAGGGTATCAACATCCGCGACGTCAAGGGATCCGGCAAGGGCGGTAAGATCACCGAGGAGGATGTCAAGAAGGCTGTCTCCTCCCCCGTTGTCGCTGCCCCCGGCGCTTCCTACGAGGACTTCCCCATCAGCGGCATGCGCAAGACCATTGCCTCCCGCCTCCAGGAGTCTACCCAGAACAACCCCCACTTCTACGTCTCCTCCAGCATCTCCGTCAGCAAGCTCCTCAAGCTTCGCCAGGCCCTCAACGCCTCCTCTGACGGCAAGTACAAGCTGTCCGTCAACGACTTCCTCATCAAGGCCATCGGTGTCGCCTCCAAGAAGGTTCCCCAGGCCAACTCCAGCTGGCGCGGCGATGTCATCCGCCAGCACAACACCGTCGACGTCTCCGTCGCCGTCTCCACCCCCACTGGCCTCATCACCCCCATTGTCACCGGTGTCGAGGCTCGCGGTCTCGAGGGTATCTCCACCGAGGTCAAGAAGCTCGCCAAGCTTGCCCGCGACGGCAAGCTCAAGCCTGAGCAGTACCAGGGCGGCTCCATCTCCATCTCCAACATGGGCATGAACGACGCTGTCGACAACTTCACCGCCGTCATCAACCCTCCTCAATCCACCATCCTCGCCATCGGCACCACCAAGAAGGTCGCTGTCCCCGCTCTGTCCGAGGACGGCACCACCGGCGTCGAGTTCGATGACCAGATCACCATCACCGGCAGCTTCGACCACAAAGTCGTCGACGGTGCCATTGGTGCCGAGTTCCTCAAGGAGCTCAAGAAGGTCCTCGAGAACCCCCTCGAGCTCCTTCTGTAAGCAGAATCTGCTGTCGTTGTTGTTGACGTTGCGTTGCGCGTGCGGAGGCAAAAAGAGGCATGATGAAAGTTTCGAAGAGGCGTATCCGGCGTGAGAGAATTATAGACATCCAGGCCGATGGATATGACCTGTGGCTTTTTCGCCAATAGGGAGGAAGCGGAGGGCAGTGAAAGACGGGGCCGAAGCATACACCATCTGCTCGGCGGCGAACGAGGAACGAAACCACCCCCTACCACAACCTACTTCCCGTGTACAATGATCTCCTGAACTAATGCTGCATCTCGGGTGCGGAAGAGGTTTCTGTCTTGTACATTTGGTCTCCTATTCCCAATTTACCCAGAAATCCAAGCAGTTACCGTTGAAAAGCTGAAACCGTCCCGGCGTCTTCCGCCTTTTGTTTGTGCTCTGCATGTGCATGTGCGTGTATGTCTATCAGCCAGCCAGATAGCCAGGAACGTGGCTTTTGACGCGCTAACTCAAACTGGTCCAAGATCGGATGAACCCAGCGATAGATGAGAGACAGGTCCCTGGTAGCCACCCAAGAGTGACATGCGGTCACAAACAGACAGCCTACCTTACCCCGGGGCACAATCACATGCCAATATGCTGATTCAATGGCATTGTCAACGCTTCGATGTTGTTTTCATATCCCGTTTATTGCAACTATGCGCTCAAACTGGTACCGATATCGGCCTCTTGAGCTCTTGAGAAGTAAAATACGTAGATCGAGCAGCCTTGAGAGGTAGGTGAGAAACGTCACCCAAGGCCTCGGCTTGAGTTGCGAGCTCCGTGCAAGCTTCCATCTATCTAGCGGTTCAAACCTCTCAGCCTATCACTCGCCTCTTGATGATTTCGCTATTCATTCGGACCATCTCCTTCCATGAGGCCGTGCCAACCTTGCGTAAGAGCTGATGTCACACAATTCTCGCATCCAGGAATAGATGTGATGATGGGATGGGCAGCATGCTCTTCAAGCAAACTTTGTTATGATCTGGGATGAAACCGTGATAGGGCCTTTCACGTTGTCTCCTTACTCATGTTCCATTCCATGCGCTGACCAATTTCATCATACTCGCCGTTCGATTCTTTGGACGCTTGGAAACTCGAAAAACATCTTCATGCAGAGAATTTAAGAATGGAGAGAATTACTTCGACCCTGTTTGAAATTCTTGGAATCATCTGTTGCGACGTCATTACAGATGTGTTTCGCAATATGAAAATCTGGTTTCATTTTCTTTCCATGGACACTGAATTTCGAGTCTAAGGACATTGCAAAAATTAGAGTTAGCAATAAGAGTATCGTGAGATTCGTGACAACACACGGATAGATCAACGGCATAAATTAAAAAAAAACTTTAAGAAAAAATTGTTGCACTTCTCACTCTGTCGAGGTTTATTGCAGAAAAAGTAAACGAAGAACGAAATAAAACTTAAATCTTCAACATCAAAGATCAATGTGGGAAGGGGGACTCGGCGACGGACAAGAGCTCTTCTACCCACGTCAATCTACAGCGCTGGTAGTTTCCAAACATTGTCCACGCTCTGAAGGGGATCAAGGCGGAGATTCTTAGCTTTTTAACGTGTCGTTCAAAACTTCTGTGAGCCGTGCTATTGCCGGTCACTGAGAGCCGCGTGAATGGGTTGGCGCCACTCTCGGTCATTTATTTGAATCCTTCTCGGGGTGATCGAGTAAGTCGGCAAATTCAAAGGCAGCTCGGTGTTTTCAATGCGAGATACTTGAGCCAATCAAACTGCCGGAAACCTCGGCGTATGGCGGGCGGAACGGTCCACAAGCGCAAGAATCCCGACGACATGTCGGGGATAAGCTCTGTCTTACTCCTTCGCCATCATGTTCATCGATCTCGACCCCTTTCACAACACAGATTTATCTCGTCATCTGATAAGATCTTGCACTTCTACTACCATGATTACCCTTGATCCGCCTATTCTCGGACTAGGCAACAGCATAGACTAAACTGGGACCAATTTACCAGCGTGAAATTCGGACTCAGTTCAAAAAGCCGAGCTTCCCACCAAGCTCGCCCAGCCCGCCTCCGACGACCGTATCCTTCCCCCCCCCTCCATCTCCCATATCCCCAACCAGAACTTGTTTACTTCCTAAAATGGACTCTTTGAGAAGCCCGGACCAGCCTTCAGCGCAGAAGAAGCGGCGCAGACCAGCCCTGGCATGCGAACAATGCCGCCGTCGAAAAGTCCGCTGCGATAGGAACCTCCCCTGCAGCACCTGCATCCGATCCAAGCACGCCCTCTGCACATACACCTCGCAGACAAAGCCGGAATCTAGAAAGAGTCCCAAGCATGGGGCTGAGGATAACGGTGGTGCTCTCCACACTGCTCTCCGCCTGCCGGACCCTATCCTCCCCGCGTCCTCATCCCTGCGGGTGAGGCCCCCGATCTCTTCCTCTTCCTCCGTCGGTGCAAGTACACCTCTACCCACCCGGACACGGCTGGAGAACTTCAAAGACCCTGTTCATGGTTCAACCAGGGCCAGTGAGTCTGGTCTTGGGTTTCCAGAACCAATCATCCCGACATCTCGGCCCCTATCAGAAGCCTCCCCCGCCACTCACGACCCCAGGACACTCGATGGACACCCCCTCTTCCACGCAACTAACCCTGGAGAACATTCCGGCCCCGCAGACTTTGGGACTTGGAGGCCCGTAAATCCTACGCGTCCCCCGGCCCCGGTGAGCGTGAGGGCGGAGACGGCCTCGATCCCCGGAAGTTGCCCCGGTTCCTCGTCGACGGTGAATTCGCTGGTTGATCGGGTGAAGCAGCTCGAGCAGCAGTTGTCGGATCTTACCGTGAAGTATGGAGCTCGGGAAGAAGATGTACCCCAACCTGCTCCTGGTCTCCGAGAGGGGTTGAGATATAGCCGGGGCTGCGTCAGCAAGACTCGTTACTTTGGACAGAGTCATTGGATGAACGCGGCTGATATGGTTGGTGATATTCTCCTCTTGTTTTGATTCATCATGACATACTGTATAATGTCCTTTCTCTTGTCTTCAATGTTCGAGTATCTTTTCGCACTCGTTTGCTCGTAGGCCCCTTGTTTTCCCTCCTATTATCAATCAGATGTCGTGCCAGACCCTGGACCGCCTTGCGGAACTAGACAAACTCCTTATCACGTTGAACCAGCGCAATAGACACTTACACTTACTCTAGTTGTACCGCCTTGTCAACTTTGCGAGAAAGTTTGAGAACCGTCGATCATCACAACTCTACGTCGACCTAGAAAAATGCAAAAAGCTAGGCCGCATCATCAAAGCCCGCCGGACCCCCTCATTCAGCACAATCTCAACCGGCAAGAGCATGCCCTCCCGAGACCTGGCCGACATCCTCATCGACAACTACCTACGCACCTTTGAGTCCGTCCACCGCATCATCCACGTTCCAACCTTCAAGGCCGACTACGAAAAGTACTGGTCGGACCCCTCTGATGCGAGCGACTCCTTCATCATCACCATGCAGCTGTGCATGGGCATCGGCGCCACCATGCACGACGAACGCTTCGCCCTCCGGAATTCGGCCATTCAATGGTTCTGGGAGGCCATGTTCTGGCTCATTACGCCCTGCGAGAAGTCCAAGATGACCATTCCCGGGCTCCAGATCCGCTGCTTGATGCACTACCTCCGTCACACGGCTAATATCGGCTGCGATCTCACCTGGATTGGCGCCGGTGCCCTCCTCAGGACAGCCATGTACATGGGACTGCACCGCGACCCCAAGTCCATCATCAAAATGTCTCCATATCGCGCTGAAATGCGTAGGAGGCTATGGGTTACGATCTTGGAGATCACCTCGCAGACAAGCATCGACTCAGGCGGCCCGCCCCTCATCTCACTAGACGATTTCGATACAGAATTACCAGCAAACCTAGACGACGAACAACTCGTAGAAGACGGTGAATCGGCCTTCCCCGTGCCCAGGGATCCAGGTACACATACGCAGATGACAGTCCCACTCGTAGTCTTCGGAACATTCGCAGCTCGTCTCGCCGTAGCAAAGCGCGTGAATGAATTCCGATCAGATACAGTCTACGAAGAGACCCTCAGGCACAGTAACGAACTCAGTAAATCGCTCCAGAAGATGATGCAGCAGCTCAAGGCACACCCAGCCGTAACCTCTTTCCAGCTGCGCTACGTCCAGTTTCTGACGTACCGGCTATTCTTTGCCCTCCACCACCAGATCGCCCCGCTGGCGCTGCGAAACCCGGTCTACTACTTCTCTCGCAAGATGGTCGTCGATACGGCGCTGCGGTTGTGCGAGGTTGCTTTCCTGGCACCTGATAAGTCTGGCACTGGCGCCACGGTGAAGCCTGCGACGCCTTCGGAGGTGGATTTCCATCGGTTGACGATTAACGGTGCCGGGTTATACCGGTCAGTTCCCTTCCAGGGCGTCATGACACTGGGGCTGGAACTTATCAATATCAAGGAGGAGGAAGTGAGGAATGGGCACTCCATGATCTATAGCGGCTCCGAAGATCGGCTGCGGGGTATCCTCGAAGCTGTGTACGACTGGTCGCGAGAACGGATCCAATCTGGAGAGACGAACATCAAGGGCCACGCGCTGAGTGTGTTGCTCATTGCTCATATTCATGGGTTGGAGCAGGGTGTCAACGACGACAAGATCGAAGACTTCTTTGAGGAGGCTTGTAAGGAGCGGGTAAAAGAGTGTTATGAGTTGCTCTCGGAATTGGCAGGGGGCGATGTGATTGAGGAAGGAGTCAGCATGCCCGATGTGCATGATTTGGATATGGACTTTGATGCCGGAGTCGATATGCTTGGGGATTGGGATTGGGGCACATCCGTGGTAAGTCTTAAAGCCCCAAAGTGTTTTTGACGTTGCCTTCTAACTTGACTTCAGGACAATAATGGGTTCGGGTTCAGCTCTATCATGAACTTCAACGCTATGCCTGAGATGTTCTCATAAAAGCGCACTCGCATAAGAATTGGCCTTGTATTCAGAGCTAGTTGGAAACACTCCCCGTGGAATCGGGCCAGACTTGTCTGGAATTTAAATTTGCCGAAGAGTCTGTGTACGATATAATGTTGCGTCTTTCTGCGAGAAACCGAGCAAGAGATACCGATTTTCTGGCAATCGAGGCATATACCACTTGGAAATCTATATGCCGGAGGTGAAACATTTCTTGTTTGCGATAATGATTAATGCTTTGTGACCTCCCAAATGATATAAGGAGAAAGCGCGTGTAACGCGAGGAAGAACCAGCAAAACAAGTTTGGTAGAGCCGCAGTGCGAAGCGAGGAGGAAAGCGCGTCTTGGGAACGGAGCAAGGAGCATTGAAGATAAAAGACAGGTGGAACGAGTTCACGGAAGGATAGAGTGGCACATTGTAGGCGACATAGAGAAGCCGGTGAACCACGAACTCTTTGTCAAATCTAATGGCGAGCGTTCAACCTCCAGTAACGTCAGAATTGCAAACAAGCTCAACCAAGCGGAAGAACACCGAAGTCCCCTACAGAATTTGAAAACCCTGCCGTCTCAGCGGCCATGGATGACATTGTCCGCTGCGGAGATTCTGTAATTTCGGCGTTTGGCGGGAATAACAGCGGAATTATACTTAGCTGCAGGTCATTGCGATTGCGACAGCGTGTAGCAACCTGGGGACATTGCCTAGACTGGGGCTTCAGTGGCACAATGGCTGCTGATGGACGTAAGCTTAAAGGATGTCGATAGTCAAGCATCATAATCGGATGAATGTCTCACACCGGTTAAAAGGTTTGGTGAATTTGACTGGATGGATTGAACAACTGTCGGTACAACAATGTCCCGTCAGACAAACAGAAGTCCCATCATAGGCCCATATGCCTCGGAGAAGATCCTTTTGAGATCTGACTGCCTTGGTCCAGATTCCAGAAGCAGCCGCGCCCGTAATCCAGGCGCCGTGAGATGGCGATAGCGCTAAGTCCGGGACGCATCTTGGCGCCAGTGTGGATTCATCATCCGCAGGACGCGGCCGCACAGCCCGCATCGCCCGCACCGTCATGAACAATTGAGATTGAAAAGATGACCGGATCGCTGCTGACCTGAGTGAGATGTGAACATTCTCATTCTATTCATTCTCGATACTCAGGACACTTTAGCACGGGCAAGCCAGCATCTCCACTGCCACACAAACATCATTGTCATTTTCAGCGCACGATTCAATCGACATCACTAACACGATGCATCTCATCCTCACTGGAGCCACAGGCCTTGTAGGCTCAGGCGTTTTCGATGCCATGATCAAGATGAAGGACGTCACAAAGATCTCAGTCCTCAGCCGGAAGCCCATCCCCATGGCTGAGGCCGCCAAAGATCCTCGGATCAACGTCATCATTCACAAGGATTTCGAAAAGTACGACGCGGAGGTACTCGAAAAGCTCAAGGGCGCGAACGGCGCTGTGTGGGCACTGGGCATCAGCCAGAACAAGGTCAGCAAAGAGTAAGCACATCCCCCCTAAACCCACCCCAACAAACAAGAAAAGTACTCACACGTCCACAGGGAATACGTCAAAATCACAAAGGACTACACCTTGGAAGCAGCAAAAGCTTTCGCCAACCTGCCGCCGGACAACGAGCCCTTCCGCTTCATCTACGTCTCAGGCGAGGGCGCAACGCAGACGCCGGGCCGCTTCAGCGCCATTTTTGCCCGAGTCAAGGGCGAGACCGAGACCCTCCTCTCCGAAATACGCGCCGCGAACCCGCGTCTGCGTGCCGAGTCTGTCCGCCCTGCTTTCATAGACAAGGCCGGCCATAAGGCCGTCGAGACCTATGCGCCGAACGCAGGTACGCTGTACAATACCATGAACATGTTCCTCGGCCCCGTGATACGGACTGCTTTGCCGTCTTTTGTCAGCCCGACGGAGGCCTTGGGTAGATTCATGGCTGAGATGGCAATGGGCAAGGTGGATGATGGACTTGCTGCTGGTGGGAAGGGGATTATTACGCTGAACGGCGGATTGAGGGTCGTGGAGAATGTCGGCTTCAGGAGGTTGGCTGGTTTACAATGAAGATACCCCAGGAGGCATAAGTCCAGGCGTGGACATGTAAAGTTACTTTTTTGTTTAAATGTCGCATTCAGTTGGCAGTCGAATTCAAAACCACCGCATGCCAAAAAGTTCAGACTGCTTTTGCTTCGCACCCGCATTGTCGAGCATTCGACGATTCATCTTGACTCCTTGGTGCAACGGAATTTTGCCAAGGGTGTATAAAGCGCAATTGGAGGCCAAGTCGCCACCGGCACACCACTCATTGGATCCCACAGGGATCCCCTGGCTCAATGGTCTAGTGGTATGATTCGCCCTTCGGGTTTACCAATCCTTGCGCACAGCGTGAAATTGGGCGAGGTCTCGGGTTCGAATCCCGATTGAGCCCTTTGCTTTTGCCAATCCTCGATATTTCATGTAGGAACTTGTATGTTTTTGGCCAGTAGTTGTTCTGGCGTGTTTATAGGCGGCGGCATGACTGCTTCGGCATGACCGTGGGCAAATAATAATTCCTCTTGAGGTGAAGAGAGACTGAGACTATGTTGATGTCAGGCCCATCCCAGTACACTCGTTACAACGATTGTCACACTATGCCTATGAAATAATATGGTCTTACACAAGCATGACTAAGTTTGCCAAGGATATGCCAGTATAAAGGGTCTTCCACTCACTATATAGATAGATAGTCGGGATATTCCCATAGCCACTCGTTCTTCATACTCATCAATACATCCCATTGGTCGACCCCCTACCTGATAATCGCTGCCCAACAGTTGAGATTGTACTTGTTAGATAGACATTGCAAGGTATCATCACGAAACAACAGCAGTGGTGGGTGGGTCTGTCAGATGTGCATGATGGGTGGTTAGGTTAGGCTGTATGAAGTATATGCAAGCTGTCTATTGTTGTCGCCATGTGGGTTGCCTGCAGGTGACTGATCTTCACTTCCGCATGCTTGTTAATCGACGCCCTTCCCTTATAATACGAACGCCAGAACTCCAGAACGCCTTAATACCTGAAATTTAAGACACACACGAACGTCCCCAAACTTTGGAGCTTGATCTCCCTCGATCTTCGTGGTCTTTGTGCCATTTCTCGTATCATCCCAATATGCCTATCGCCCTTTCTAACTTGTGCCTATCTTCAATGTGTTGTTGATCTTGAACTAGGAGCTGCCCGAATGCATCTCGATTTGAAAGTTGCAGCCCGGGAGCAAGATGTGCCATCTAGACGTGTCTCAGACATAGGTCCTTGTTGTAATTGGCGTCTGTTGCTACCGAAGAGGCTCTAGCTGCATCGTTTGGTAGGCCCGTGTAGTTGCGAGGAGATGTAGTGTCCTTTAGACCATGTGGGAAGCATCGCTTCTGTCTGGTCCATCTGGCGACGATTCTGCTGGATGATTCTCCTCATCATCACATGGCGCAGGAATGTGGAAGACGGTGCCGTAGGCGGGGGGTGGTGTACTCCCTTCGAAATCAAGGAGTGGTCTCTCGGTAGAATCCTCGCGCTCATACCGAGGGAGCGGCTCTGTCTGGTCCGCAAAGTCGAGCAGTTCGGGCAACCTTCTTCGGTTGTCTCCATAGTAGTATTGTGGTGGCGCCGGCGGATTATACCGGCCCTCGAGAGAATACACGAGCAAACTAGCCCCGAATGCTAAGAGCATGAAGAAGATAAAGCTGAGCAATATCATGACGAGCGCCGCAGGAAGGGACATTTGTGGGGTTCCCTTGATTCCGTGTTCCATGGCCTTGCGTTTAGCGTCGGAGATGCTAACGTCGTGGATGGCGAGGAAGTGTTTGATGGATTTCTTCGGGGTATACATATCGACTGGTGTAATTGGTTGTGCCGTTATGTAATTCAGAGTGGTCGGCGCGGACGAGATTGACTCAATTGCGTGGTGAAGTGTGGTGTTGGTTTGAGTAGGTGGTCAAGGAGCATAATAGTATGTGTTTGTATTGGGAGAATGGGGACGGCCAGTCGAAAAGATGGTTCTTGGAAATAAATTGAACGCAATATATACCATGATCCCAGATCTATCTCCGGAAGGCAACATTTAAGCTTCACGATGACCTTGGTTGCACCCCAAGGTGGCTTAATGGCGTACGAACCTCCCATCTCTCGCGAAAGTACCGTGCTTCCAAAACTTGCTCAAACCCAGGGCTTTGTGTAGAAAGGGCTTTCCTCCCGTTCATGGCCCGCCCATCTATAGCCTACCATGGCCCAAATATGGGCGGAAACCTGGGAGACTAGAGCAATGCGGACAAGTCGCAATGGGGCATCACTCGATGAGCGATGGGAATACCCCGAACTGCGGGTACTGGGAGAACGAGCACAGCTCCTGACTGCGCATAACACGAAAGCGAATAGTTTCAACAACCTTCCCATTCGCGAGCACTACTACTGTGGCTAAGCAAGATGTTTCCCGTCAATGTGATTTCACTCCCATTTAGTAGGCAGAGGGTCCGCGACCTCATTGTTGCCCCCCTTCAGTCTTCTCTGCCTCCGGCTTTCTACCGTAAATGAAGTACCTGGTATGTTATGTCAGCCTCCAGGCTTCAATATTCAACAATTGACTTACACAGGCCAGTACGCATGGATGGACTTGTCTTTCAGGTCCTTCCTTACGTCGATCAGGAAGACCTGGACTTCTTCCTTCTTCCACTCATGGGCCCTAGTGAAAGCCGCCATGGTAAACCCTTCGACGCCGGATGTCATGTTTTCATTGTTCCACATGCCGAGCTCCTTGTACTTGCGTTGCCTAGCCCATGAGTTCGTGGGCCACTTGTCTACATGCATTGTAATATCGACGAATCCGACATCTTTCATTACCTCCGCAAGGGGCGCCACATGCTGATACGGACGCCCGAACTTGACAGATGCATCGTACATCAAGTCGATACACTTAGAAACAGCATGGTCCGGCTTCAGCGTACCGTCATCCGACTTGAGATAGAGATCAAACTCCTGCATCTCGAAGTAGCCACCAGGTGCCAGGTTACTGAGATTGTAAGCATGTGAACTTCCCAATTACACGTAGTAACTTGGACCGAATTGGATTGGAGCGGCGGCTTACTCGAAACATTTCTTCATATAAGCCTTCCAGTCACTGACGGAGGAATTCATCGCACGACTATGGATGTAGTCGAATGGCTGCGAATACATCCAGGGCTCCTCAAGGTCGTCTACCTCGAATTTGACGTTGGGGGGGACACTACTGCGAGTAAGCTTCTCTCGTCCAAGAAATAGTATCAACTATGAACAGTATTGCACTCACAACTCAGGCATTGACGGGGAAAGGTCCATTCCCAGAACCTGCTTGGGTCAGAAGGGCGTCGCGAATCGCTGAAATGGATGTGCACATACCTCAGCCTCAGGATGCTCGTCGCCGAAGTCTATTGCCCATATTCCAGTACCAGTGCCTACGTCAAGAACCCTCTTGACCTTTGACTTGGGATCATTGGGCGGTGCGAGCCCCAATTTGTTGTCTTGGGTTAAAAGAAATATGTTGTGTTGCAAGTCTAATGACTGTTAACTGAGGTGATATGAACCTTGAATCTCGGGTATTCGTTTCGAAAGTAATTACCCAACCTGTCCGCCTCAGATTCATCATTCGGAATGTGGTATTCTGCGTTGCACCAGCGTAAGTCTTCCGGCGTTGACCCAAGCACCTAGTGAACAGCTTAGAACCCACTGCCGTCTTTGTATCTGTGATACGTTCTTCCGTTCTCCAGTCGAAAGTCAAGAATGGAGCTCGAAATGCTCGTGCTTGATGAGGCAATACTCTGATCTCGTCTGTGAGCTTAGAACGCACGAATGCCCTAGTAGAACCAGAAAGAGTAATCTCACCTCGCCAAGCTCTGATGCACTGTCGTCTGTGACCTGTAACATGTCAGAAAATCGCTTGGAATCCCGTCGAAGGCCATTGCGTGTACCTCAGGAATGAGCTGGACTGGGGCATTGATAGTCGTCGTGTTGGCTGCATTAGAGGCCGCAGCCGCCGTAGGCGAGGCTGAAGTAGTTTCACCGCACATTTGCGACCGATCGTTGACAACAATGAGTACTAGTGAATGAGTGGCCGAAAAGACACCCTAAAATGTCTTCAATGATTTACTGAGGAACGAAACAGCGACAAGATACCCCCGTGTGAGCTTGAGTACTCTGGGACTTGACCTGTCTTTTATCTTGACAAATGTTACCCCTCTCTCTGCTTGGAGACAATTATGCAGGTCAACGGCGAAGATGCTATTTACGGTGTTGTCGAAGTCCACAAAAAGAAAGTAATCCGTGCATCAGAACGAATCGGTTGGGTAGAATGGAGCTCGTACGATTACAACATGCAGTTGGTCGTCAAGGAAACGCATGGTGCGGTTGGTTGTTGCCATCCTGTTGGGCACGTCTTGTAGGGTATTCCCGACCCGTTTCCAGCTGGTGTGGCTCGACTTCTCCCCATGAAAATTGAATTCTTGGCGTATTGACGACAATGGCTAAGAGTGTTATGGTCTTTTAGGTTGATGCGACGTGTGAAAAAAAGCTGCAAGCGCGCGCAGTCATGGCTGGTGACTTGTTTTGATATGGATACCAAGAGTCGAGGCGTTAAATCTTACGCGGTGAGAATATAGCGAGTAGCCCAGGAACATGCCTTTTGGTCATACTAGCCCGACGCTGTTTAGTGTTTTGGCAAAATGGAACGCAGGCTTGAGCAGAAAAGACTACAATCGTTGCTGAACAGGTTGATCGCCACGATTGTGGCAGGCAAAGTGAACGAGGTCGTTGGAGTTCAATGAAGGGTAAGTCAACGTGGACTGGGAGGCTCGCATGAGCAATTATGAGCGTCCGCGATAATCAATAGATGATGATCAGGAGAAGAACGATCAACCTTGGAACCACAATAGCACCACCAGAGTTTAGGTTCAGGACAGGTCGCTGATGCGAGTACTGTAGTTCTGCACCAAATGTACCGTTTCGATGAACTCAACTTGATTCCATAAACGGAGTTGTTGATAACAGCCTTTCGAATGGCAATATTTGAACACTAGTAACGATTGAAGACCAAGCAGATTTTATTCAAATTTACATGTAGGCAAAAAACAACAGAACTTACGACACGAACGAAGAACACTTCAAAGAAGTTCAGACGATCGGGGCCTGCTAGATGATGGTCCAAGCAGGTTCCTTCGTCAGTCATGCGCGTGCCATGCAATAAAGTCTGGGACGCGAGGTATCCTGAGCATGAAGAAGAAGAAACTGGAAGATTAGCCGGGGGACAAGGAGTATTTCGAGGCAGCTCGTTGGCGAAACTCCGCTGGGATAATTATGTGATCGCGTCAATCTGAAGTTAAGCTTTCAGCAGAACCCGTCCGAAGTTGTAGACTAGTGGGGCTACCCCGATCCATCATCTCAATGTCATGCTGTTTGAGTTCAGCTAAGCTGTCGGATTGACAGATGCAAGACTGGCAATCCCTAATTCGAGACTCACTGCAATAGCGTATACGATTCAGCTCACCCAATCACAATTATCCGCTCGAATTAGACTATTCCTCAGAGAAAGGATTTGGCTGTTGATGGCCCGCTCCCGACGCGCTCCACAACGGCCTCGGGAAACCCTGGGTGGCCTATTATATACAGATACAGCATTAAAATACCGAGAATCGGGGGCGACTAACGTTCCGAGCCGTCGGCCATGCAGGCCGGAATGGTAACGCCGTCAATATTGAGCCCCACTCAACTTGCCCCGTCTCTTGGCCGTGTAAGCCGTCACTGGGCCGTCAAGATATTATTGTCAAGACTAGGAACGAGTAATTACTCCATTGGAGAAGTATATAAGCTGAAGTTCTTAGTCTTAGAGATCTCAATTATACCAGCATGATTGTTTCGTTTCAGCGATTGTGTCAATAAATTCTTCTCTTACAAGCACGCCGCACTAGCCATGACTCACTCTCATTGCCCAAGAAAACAAGTGCAGTTCTACACACGATGGTGTTCCAAAGCTAAAGCATAAAAGCATTTTCTTAGACGGCGTACTCCGATGGCCCTCTACAGGACTCAAGGTTCTCATCGTTGTTGGTGGTCCTGCCGGTCTACTGACCGCTCTTGAATGCTGGAAAAAAGGACATGATGTTGAAGTTGTGGAGAAGAACAGCAAAAACTCAACAATTGGTGAGCTTCATTTCCAAGAACAAAAAGACTGAAGATTCGGAGGCATTTGAGACAAGCTGATACTTGGGCATAGGTGATGTGATTTTCATCGGCTCATCTGCCCTCGCAACTTTCAAGGACTACCCGAGCATGCTTGAAGAGTACCATCGCCAGTCGTGGGATGCATTCTGTTCATACCGAAGACTCGACGGTGAAGAAGTTTGTCCTCCTCAAGAGTTCGAGTACAACAGAGACGATGTTCAGCCCCACGTTGCCTGGCCCCTGAGAATCAGGACCATGGTGAGCCGACCGGGCATGTCCATCATGTTCTACGAGCAGTGCATGCGCCTAGGCATCCCAGTCAAGTTCGGCGTAAACGTCGTAGATTACGTTGAGAATGCAGCCGAAGGAACTGCTACTGCTGTTACTGCTGATGGCCAGGAACTGACGGCTGACATTGTGGTTGCTGCTGATGGTCTTGGCACCAAGTCTCACAAAGTGGTCATGGGAGAAGCTATCAGGGCTGTTCCTACAGATTTGTCATTTGCCGCATCTTCTATCGTCTTGACCCGGTGAAGAACAAGAATCTCTATGAAAAGCTGATCAAGACCACAAGACCTGATCTCCACACTCACTCCGGGTAAGTTCCTTGCGGACGATTGAACAATTCTTCAGTGTGCTGACTTATGACTTCCAAGTGACGATTTCCATTGTATCTTTATCACAGCTAATGACTCCATTGTCATCGCAATCACAATGCTGGTATGCCGCTTTTCCCGAACTGCAGTCGCGACTAATATTATTTTCTGCACAGAGGAATTGACTAACAATTACCATGATAGGATGATGGAACCGTATCAGAATCTTGGGCCGAAACCATCACTGGTGATGAATTTGTCAGCAAGCTGCCAGTGACCGAAGGATGGGACCCCTTGATTTTGGAAGGCATTCGCAACATCCCCGAGAACAGCATCGTCAAATGGCAGCTCTGCTGGCGTGATCCTCAGCCCAAGTGGACATCGCCTGAGGGTCGGATTCTCCAACTTGGTGACAGCGCGCACGCTTTCATTCCGTCGTCGATATCCGGTGCATCCACAGCGCTCGAAGATGCTCAATCTTTGGCTGAATGCTTAAGGCTTGCCGGTAAGAAAGACGCTAACATCGGGACTAAGGTTCACGAACTGTTACGGTACGTTCCCAGGTTCCCATGCATACGGCCTTGTTATGCCTTGAACCAAGCTGACTGAGGTGTGATTGACTCTTTTAGCATTCGACGCGCTTCTACCCTCCAGCGTCTTGGGTTCGCTAATCGACGAGAGATGCACCGTAAGGGTGGATTTGAGGAGGTGATGAAATCCGCAGCAAAGGGTGGCCCCATGGGGCTTGGTAAATGGATATGGACTCACGACCCGGCGAAGTACGCCACCGATAAATTTGCCGAAGGCCGCAGTCATCTGGAGAATGGTACTCCCTTTGAGCATACTAACCTTCCAAAGGGGTTCAAATGGGAACCTAATTGGACCATGCAAGGGGAGATTGAGATTGAGAAGCAGGGAATTCACACCCCTGACCTGAAGATGAATGGTGACTGGAGCATTTACTAGACTTAGACAACGTCCTATATAGTCGAACCGTTTCGGACTCATAGACCAAGGTACATAGATTGAGGCTGAGAATCAATAGAGTTTGTTTTCGTTCACAAAATACATCACGTTGACCCTGTCTCAATTTGTTTCGACCCAAAGCTCTATGAAGCCACAGTATCGCAACCACCATGTCATGTGCCCTTCTTCAAGTCAGGGAATTGTTCCTTGGTCCTCTGGCCATACTCCTTGCAGGCTTTGCCGGCTATTGTGCAGCAGGGATAGTGCCGTAGGTGCCGCTGGCAGCCAACGACACTACAGGCTTAAAAGGGGAGATCTCCAGTCAGCCTGGCGACTTGAGATAGTGTGATACGGAGAGCTCAGATATACTGGGGCTACAGGTAAGGTATCGTCATGGAATAATCAAGATCATAAGTTGAGGAGGAGCGCCGCCTGACCCCAGTCAGACCTGATTTGTAAATCGATTCGATCTGTAAACTAGCTTGGATTTGTAAACCCATCTCATTTGTAACCTGATCTGACTGGCGATAATCACCGTCATCTTTTCTCAAATCCTGCCGGTCGCTGTCGGGATTTGGAGCCGTCGCTTACAAGTTGCCTCATTAAAACAACAATCGGAGCTCTTACTTGTGACGACTTTGCGAGGTAAAGTGGGTCTCATCACCGAGGAGCATAATTGGTCGAGGATGTTAATTGAGACGCTGCCTGTTGATCCTTTGTCCATGAAGTTCAAGCTGCAACCTAGCACAAGGCACGGATGTGGCTGCACGAGGTGCTAACACCTTGAACGCCACGTCTGTTGTCCGGACATTGGCGCGGGGGCTGAAGTATATATGATGGAGAAGTCCGATAACACCACGGGGAACATTTCCCGACCTTCTTAATCGAAATCTACCCTCTCTTACAAGGACTGCACTAGAAGAAGACGTTGCGCAACCATGGATTCGAACGCGATTTTCAGAGTTGACGGCATCGTCGCCGTGATCACCGGGGGTGGGACAGGTATGCAATCTCCGTCAACAATTCGATGAGCATCAGACCAATGCTGAAACCACCTTCTAGGTATTGGTCTCACGATGGCGAGAGCCTTGATCTCTCAGGGTGCCGCCAAGGTCTACATCCTTGGACGCCGTCTCGAGGTGCTCGAGGCCGCAGCCAAAGAGCACCCTAATCTGATCCCCCACAAGTGCGATGTCACTTCAAAGGAAGACCTCCAATCCATTGTCGACCGTATCACCAATGAAGTCGGCTATGTCAACCTCGTCATTGCGAATTCAGGAATCCTTGGACCGTCAGTCCGCTTCAACCCGGCGCACTCCGTATCCGATCTGAAGAGGATTCTCTTCGATGAATTTTCCATGGAGGAAATGACGGAGGTTCTTCAGGTCAACATTACAGCTGCCTTCTTCACCATGTCGGCCTTCCTCGAACTCCTTGATGCTGGGAACAAGAATGCTCTCAAGGGCGGGTTCGGCAAGCCGGACCAGGAAGGCAGCGATGTCATCGCCATTCAGAGTCAAGTCATCTTCACGAGCAGTATCTCGGCTTTCAGTCGGCATTTCTCTTCGACCCCTCCGTATTTGGCCAGCAAGACTGCCATCATGCAGCTCACCAAGCAAGCCAGCAGCCAACTGGCTAGACACGGCATTCGTGTGAACGGAATTGCCCCGGGATGTAAGTACCACCGCTTTGATTCTGCGTCTCAAACCCACGTAGACTAAAATGTCATTTTCAGTATTTCCCTCAGAAATTGCCGCGGGACTTATTGGCGACCGCAAGCCAGAGACTGAATCTCCAGATGATACGAAGTTCATTCCGGCGCGGAGGTTTGGAGGCGATGAGGAGATGACTGGAGCTATTCTCTACCTTACCAGTCGTTCCGGCAGCTATTCGAATGGCTCGATCATGGTCATTGACGGTGGCCGATTGAGCGCCATGGCCAGTTCCTACTAGGAGTACTGTGTTAGATGGTGTCGGATAACTTCGGTCAGCGATTGGGGCACTCTATCACTCACGACTCTATGTCATATCATGATGGCAATGAATACATTTTCGATAGAAATGATCAAACCTCGAAGAACAAACGCGGGAATTTTGGGTTTCTTGCCATTTCAAGTGTACTTGATAAGTAGATCTGGACAACGGAGCTGCCGCAAGCCACATACATCATTTGCATTGACTGACGACCCATTGTCGAGCTTGCCAAGATGAAGAAGTTGGACATCCGGGTTCTGTGTCTACCCGGGCTTCCCGAGATCCTGAAATTACAGAGTATGGTCTTCAACTTTAAAGTACATGCAATGAGGGAACAATCAACGCGCTTACTTCTTTAACGTCCATTGCGTTGTGGTATTGACATCAAATAACCAACAACAAAGGCAGGTCCAATGAGTATCAACTGGAAACAAAACCAATGGCTGTCTGAGCGAGCAATACTATCTATGCAAAACGAAGAGGCTACAGACAAAGACTAGACCTCGGTCTCTGATATTTCACAAATATATTGTCTCGGACAATGTGCGCAATTGCCGCTGCTGGCTAGGAGATAATAATGAAGCCACTCGCCGACATCCAGAAGGAGATTCAAGCCCGCTATTCCTACACGCAACTTTTAGAAGTCCCTATTCTGCCTTTTCTTGCGATTATCTAAGGTAGATACTCCGCAAACACTCTTCGTCAAGTCTCGGACAGCATCAAACTCACATTCCTGTAGACAATGGACTGTCTACCGGCACCTAACGAAGTTGAAGACCAGAGCCATTACCGGTTCAACCGTGTACTACCTTTGTTCCGACTCTATTTCGGGGAAGAACTCGTGGATGAGTTTCGCCTCAAGCGCGAGGTAGACGAAAACGACGTCATGATACGAATGTTTAGAGCCGCTGGCGAGGGTCGACTCGACGGCTTGATGAAGAATGTTCTAAACAAACACGGTGCTGGTGATAAGTATCACGTTCCTGATTGGATGCGCAGAGCGGCGAAGAAGCTGCATAGACTAGCCGACGGCTCTTCATTCCGGAAATGGCAACGAAGTCGCCGGCGCAAGGCTGTAAATACAGTCGGGAGGCGCCTAGCAAAAGTTGAAATGTTCCGAATGACCTTTTTGAACAGTGAATGGGAAGCTGGCCTCAGAAGAGAACCCTTATTTTACCTTGGTGTATACCAGCATCCATACGACCTCCGTCAGGGCCGTCCGAGTGCAGCTTTCGACGCCGTCTTGGATGACCAGCTTCGCTGGGGCTTCCGTGCCAACTACCTCGTGGCAAACATTGCAAAGTTACGAAAACTTTGGCCGACAAACGCGAACTGCTTTATATTTTCGTTCCGAGACTGGAGGTGTATTGGTTCTCGCACCATGTACCTGACCCGTATGCAACAGTACCGGGTGCTGGCATCTTACATCCGAGCCACAACTATCTTTCCAAAGAGGCACATGGTAGCTGAGAGCAGGAGAGACGACGAAAATACAGGCCTTGCTTGTCGGGCTATGACGTATGTTGCGACTAGGATAATTGACGCCTGTATCCCAGAGAATGAGTGGCCAAATATGCTGTTGCAGATGCAGGCTCTTACAGATAGACTAGAGGAATCCCACAAGAACAGCAGGATCTGTGAAATTAGGGAGTTGTTGTCGAATTGAATTCCGACTTCATTTTCAAGACATTAGCTTGAAGTTAAAGCAGCCAATTGGAAGAGGTAGATCCCAAAGAAACTGAGAATTCAACTTCCTGTGGGTAGTGGACAAAACGTTTGACGGCGGCTAATAATATGTCGACACCTTTCCCGTCAGATGAGGATAAGAAGGATCATGTCCAGACCTCATGAGGGCTTCGTAACTTCTAATGAAACTGTATACGTGTATCTGTGACTCATATGGAAACCCAGTTTGGGTTTCTCGATACCAAGGTACTTGGAGCGTAGTTTTCTGACGTATGCTTTAGGCACCACAAGCAAGACCCGTAGAGGTAGATAACTTTGCTGGTTTCTCCAATGCTTTCAGTAATCAGTATGGATTAAGCACGTGCCAAGAACTTTTACTAGTATATATAAGGTAGCAAAGACGAAGGAGGCGGTTCAGAGCAACCACGGCAGTCATACCCCCGAGGTGACACATCACAAGACACAACAGTACTCACCATCGCCTCACATACCGCAAAATGGCCTCCTTCCAGATCTTGTCCGATTTACATCTCGAACACAACAACTACTCAGACTATCGCATCGTACCAGCAGCACCGTACCTTGCTTTGATAGGCGACATCGGATGTGTCAAGGATTCCGGCTACATTAGCTTTCTCAGAAACTTGCTGGACCAATTTCGCATTGTGTTCTGTGTCCTCGGAAATCACGAGCCTTATGGCTCCAACTGGGATAAGGCGTGGGAGACGCTGAAGAATTTCGAACAAGTAAATCGAAATGAACGCAAGAAGAACCCTCAAAGCCCCGTTGGCGAGTTTGTCTTTATGTATCAGGGAGAGTACCAAATACCCAACAGCAACATAACCGTGCTGGGATGCACACTATTCTCCGACGTTCCATCATCGAAGATGACACCAGTCAGCAATGGCCTGAATGACTTCCGCGAAATCGATGGCTGGACTGTCGAAGAACATTGCCAACTATACAAGGAAGATCTGAAGTGGTTGAATGACAGGGTAAACTCCGTGCCAACCGATTCTGATCGCAGGATTGTCATCTTCACGCATCACAGTCCCACCGAAGACACCCGTGCTGTCAAGCCATGTCACGCTCAAAGCGACGTCAAACCTGGTTTCCAAACGGACTTGCGAGGCGAAGCCTGTTGGAAGAGCCCCAGGGTCAAGCTCTGGGTGTTCGGTCATACACACTACAACTGCGATTTCGTGGACGATACAACAGGAAAGCGAGTATATACGAACCAGAAGGGCTACTCGCAAGATCACTCTCCGGGGTTCAGAGAAGGAGACGTGGTTCACATAGACTGAGGTGCGAAATTGAGTCTTCGGTCTCGTGCTTCAGGCCGTAGGAAAGGGGTCCCCTAAGCTTGCGAGCCAGTAGCATGTCTAGACGAAATTTTCTTCTCCTCTGGCCATATACAGCCTACCATTCGTACCCGGACCCTGGCCGCCCTGAAAACGAAAAGTTCATTCGCTTACTACTTGAGCAGCGTACTTTTCTCAGGGGACTCAAGTGGAACGCAGGTCTGATTCTCAACTCCGCGCAGTGGCGAGCTTTCCGAATCGTCCCGAGTCCGTATTCAGTGGAGAGCATGGTCGGTCAGGCTTCAGCTGCTCGACACTCGTTCTAGAAGAGCCCATGATCGAGCTCACCGACTCGGTGGTACCACGACCCTCTTTTATCCCTTCCTCCCCAAACTCAGGAGTGCGGAGGATTTCGGATGCTCTCCGGTGAGACTGAAGTGCGGGTGAACAGGAGACCGGGAATAGTACCAGCATCGAAAAGTTTGAGACGGTCATCTGAAGGTGCAAAACATGGAGAAAGGGGCATAACTCTGGGGGCGGTTGGGGAATCAGTCGCAGCGATTGAGCAATGGATGGAAAAAACTCGAAATAGATGGCAGCAGACGTGTGAAAATCCAAGAAAGCCAAGACATAGCTCTCCATTTTATCATGTCTCTTTTCCCCATCAAAGACATTCGAGTCGGTCCGTTGAATACAGCGAGAGTCTTGGACGATTCCCACTCGCAATCGGACCGTTACACTCCACATTCCACCCCGAAACTGCGGAGAACGGGGAACGCAATTTGGGGCCCCGACGCTCCGCGCATGGCGGTCAAGTTCCCCGGCTGCCCCGATGGGAGGCTCTCGGAAGTATAGCTACATGACAGATGTCCCGACTCCCATGGGGGTTCCAGGAAGATGGGCGGAGAAGCATAATGGAAGCTTTAAAATGAATTGTGATTTTGTGAAGCTATCGAACGAGAAGGACGCTGGAACCTGTGCGACGATGTACAGAAGGCCTTGAGAAAAATGGTGATACGGAAACAGTAGAGCTAATCAGTGGACGCGATGCAAACTGTTAGATCAAAGTCACAAACACTTCCCCCTCACAAATAACAACTCACATCCGCGTGAGAACTTTAGAAGCTAGATACTTTCAAGTGCTCAACGGTGAATGACAGACTTTTTAGTAGCACGCAGTCAGAGCTCGAGAAGCGTAGGAGGGCACTGGACCACGAGGATGCATTGGCATACCGCAGGGATGGCATTGACTCGCGTTGGTCTGCCCAGGTCAAAAAAACACAACTTCGCCAACTGCCAGCATTCGCCCAGCCAGCGGACTTGGAAGTTCGCGGCCAACTTAGGTAGAACGCGTTGCACTCACAGTCTAGGCACGTCGCATTATGTCTCGGAGCCCGCAAGTGACCCGGCTGCGTTGTACGGCGCGATAGACTTCTCGACAAGCAGAAACAGGTCGGACGCGCCGCTGTCTAACTCGCACGTGAGGGTCTGGGGATCGTCATTACTTTTTATTCCTGGTGTTCACTTCTAAGACGTTGCGTTGTGCAAACTCGGCCCCACGTTGCCGTGTTCCGCCTTCGCATATTGCATGGTTTAGAAGGGCATTGAGCAGACTTTGACATCCGTTTAGGCACAAGAATCACCAGTCTGGCACAGTTTCCAGGGAGACTCGGTCGCGCGTTGAGAGCTTGGCCTCCCACCGTGGACTCACCTTGGCAGCATAAGCCGGTGTCTTGGCTTCACAAATCGATTTCGTATGCCAATGTCCGCGTACCCCTGCCTCGCTGTCGGCAATGACGGGGGCCAAGCAGCCGATCTGAAGCCTCACCCTCAAGTCTCCCAACCATTGTCGACGGAGTGAGCCCCATGAACAGGTGCTTTTTCCCTGTCCTGCGTGTCTATTGTCCGACCTGAAGTTGTCAGCTCTCTGGCACTGCAAGCTCTGTAGCTCGCACGACTCGCTCACACCAATTCCCGCCTTGATGGAATGCGCGGCGCCCTTCCAACCCCGGATTCTCGATGCATGGGGCTTCCGGCCGTCGGTCGCGTGGGTGGCGCCTTTCCTGTCTCCCCCAGATGATGGCGTGGGATGAAAGTGGACTGCGCCCATGTATGGATACAACAAGTACTTCCCAAGTTCTTCCCACACCTTCTATCAAGCCTTAATCAACCTTGCTTGTCTGCGCCCCAGTATGGAGAAAGGATAGGACCGAGTCGGCCTCTGGGGCAACGTCATAGCATCGTTTCCAATCATTGTAGTCGGTCAGCCGACTCAGGTTCGTCCACATCTGCGAAGTGGCAGGCAGGATGCGGCTGCAGTATAAAGCCACCATGGTGCATACTCAAGAGACATGAGCAGCACTTCCCAAGCTCCCTTGTTTCTTCACTACGAGCTTGAAACGACCCTTCCTCTTATCTCCGCAACTCCTTCACTGGACTATTAGGACATCTGCATGAGTCCTTGAGCGAAGAGCTCCTGCTCTCTCACGGACTACTCCGCAACCCACCAATCTTAAGAGATCCATAGCGTCCAAGAGCTTTTGAAATCATGGGTTTGGGCAAGAAGTAAGAATCAACTACTACGGTTCCTTCTCACAGTAACTGATTCCCTGGTTAGGTCCATCCGCATCAATGGCGCCGACTGCGGCATCGAGTCGCTTTTGCTCGGTGTTATCACCAGCATAGGAGGCTTTCTTTTCGGTTACGACACCGGCCAAATCTCATCTATGCTTCTTTTCACGGACTTCAAGAGACGCTTCGCCACCGGCGCACCAGACGCCGATGGTATTCCACAATGGGTGCCCATCACCCAGTCCCTCATGGTCTCGCTCATGAGTATCGGTACTCTCATCGGTGCGCTCTCAGGTGCCTACACAGCCGACTGGTGGGGTCGACGAAGGAGCTTGAGTTTCGGTGTCGGTGTCTTCATCATTGGAAACATCATTCAGATCTCAGCCATGAACTCTTGGATTCACATGATGATGGGTCGATTCGTCGCTGGTCTGGGAGTTGGCAACCTATCTATTGGTGTTCCCATGTTCCAGTCTGAGTGCTCTCCCCGCGAGATTCGTGGCGCTGTCGTCGCTTCATACCAGCTTCTCATCACCTTCGGTATCCTCATTTCCAACTTGATCAACTTCGGCGTTCGCAACATCCAAGAGTCCGACGCTTCATGGCGCATCGTTATCGGTCTTGGTATTGGCTTTTCTCTGCCTTTGGGCTTGGGGATCCTCGTCGTCCCCGAATCTCCTCGATGGCTCGCAGGTCGTCAGGACTGGGAAGGCGCTCGCATGTCCATGGCGCGTCTCCGAGGCCTTAAGGACGATCCGCACAACGAGACCGTCGAAAAAGATCTGCAGGAAATGTTCAAGGTCATTGAAGAAGAATCTAAGACGGGCTACGGTACTTGGCTCGAGTGTTTCACTGGATCCTCTGGAATCCCCAAGACTGTCTACAGAACTATCCTGGGTATCTGCATTCACTTCCTGCAGCAGTGGTACGTCGCGGCACCTAACTTTCCAACATATGAGAACAGCATCTAATATCTATCATAGGACTGGTATCAACTACTTCTTCTACTACGGAGCACAGATCTTCGAGTCGGCCGGTATCGATGATCCCATCATGGTTCAGCTTATTCTCGGTGCCGTCAACGTTGTGTGCACATTCTATGGTCTCTATGCTGTTGAAAGATACGGTAGACGTTGGCCCATGTTCATCGGTGCTCTGTGGCAGTTTGCCTGGCTTACAATCTTCGCCTCCGTCGGCACTGCCCTTCCTCCCGAAACCAGCGCAACCAGCGGCATCGTCATGATCGTCTCGGCTTGCATGTTTATTGCTTCTTTCGCTAGCGTAAGCTTGCCCCTGTCAACTTGGACGATTCTTCTTACTAACTATGATATAGACCTGGGGACCTATGGCATGGTGCGTCATTGGAGAGACCTTCCCTCTCCGAACCAGAGCTAAGCAGGCATCTCTCGCAACCGCCGGCAACTGGTTGGGTAATTTCCTCATCTCATTCCTTACGCCCTTTGCTACCAACGGTATCTCATTCGCATACGGTTTCGTCTTTGCTGGCTGTAACTTGGCCGCCGCTTTCCTCGTATGGTTCTTCCTCTACGAGACGAAGATGCTGTCCCTCGAGAACGTCGACAGGATGTACAGCGACCCAAGTGTCAAGCCCTACTCTTCCACCAAGTGGGTGCCGCCAGGTTACATCACTCGAAAGGACAAAGACGAGTCTGCTTTCCAGAGAGCGTCGGTCCACACCGACAACAGCAACCCGAAAGAAAAGTCAGGCGACGAGAGGCCTTTCTCTGAGCATCATACTAAGCAGGAAACTACATCCAACGCTGTTTGATTACTTGTAGTTCTATAGTCTTTTGAGCATAAAGTCTCTGTAGTAATAACATTGCACACATTTGAGAGTGCGAACTCATAGAAGTTTACATTCGTCGTATTTGATACATACATGTAAACATGTATTAATCCGACCTGGAATGCCCTCTGTTCAAGACCTTAACAGTAATTCATCGTAGCGAAAAGTATCAATCGAGCTATGACCAGGAACCTGGACTGCTTCCCTGTGCTATTTTGAGGGGTTACTGGCCGTCCCCCGTTCTCATAAAGATATTTGAAGGCCTGTCCCGGTGCGCGAACTGCTCTTCAACGTCATACTCGATCTCCGGGCCTTCTTGCTTGAACCCCAGCTTGGCGTACACGTGTCTACCCATACTTGACGCCTCGAGAAGCAGCTCAAGTCCGCCACGTCGCTGTGCCTCATCGAGACCCCACTGAACCAGTTTCTTGGCGATGCCCTTACCCTGGAACTTGGGATCCACGCCGCACATGTCCAGCACGAAAACTGCCGGCTCGGCCGCCGTCGCCTTCTCTGCGATAACCTCCTTGCGTCGCTTGTGGAGTGATCCCATACAAGCAGCGGCGTATCGCTGCTCGGCTTCGTTTCCCGGGAAGATGGACTCAAGGCCGAGCTCCTTTATCGAGTCTTTCGGGGGTTGGTCGCCGTGACCTTCAACGACGGACTGCTGTGCCCAAGTGGCCATGCCGACGATTCTGCGCTGGTCGGCATTCTCGGGATCCGGAACGGTGGCCTTGAGGAATACAACGTTGGGCTCGCCCTTGTTGTTCTTGTTGACAGTGTTGAAGCGCTGAGCCATGCGGCCGGCCCCACGAGCCACACCTTCGGGTGTATCCCAGCCGGGGTTCATGGACAGATAGACACCATCGCGGGCTTGGTGGCCGAACGCGTCGCGGACGACCTTGGTGACTTGAGTGAGGTCTTCGGGCTGCGAGATGACTTCGATGCGCACATCAGAGTTCTGCCCCGCGTCGGTGGTGCTTGCCATAGTTGCTGCGGGGTAATCGGGGCTGCAGACTTCGAATGGCGGGGTAAATGTGCTAAAGTCTGGGTTCTGTGGGCTTTGAGATGGTCTTGCTACACAAGTTTCCAATGAGTCTCAAGCTGGGTTGACAGTCTGCGATATCTGCAAAGAACGAAGCAAAGTGGACAAAGTGTCTTCACTGAAAAGGATACCAACGTTGCCAAGTTCTTCCTTTCTAGCACGAGAGACGGACAGCCGGAGTTGAACCTGAGCGCATGAATCATCCAATGCCACAGAGTTGGCATGGCCCACTAGACTCCGCATCTCGTAGGCGAACCCCCGATTTTAGTCGTCAACTCCATGTTCTCACTAGTGCCGGAGCTGACTTAACTCTTATCAATTGCAATGGTGGATCCATCCTAGGAGAATGCAACGTTAGATGACAACTTGAGCTCTGATGAGCTGTCAGTAACTGAGATAAGTAAGAACTAGGTCTAAGTCAAAAACGCAGTCTGTTCCAATCACAAAGTGGTAGACAGTGTCTAATGCAGATATGAAATCCTAAATGAGGCTTGAAGTGCCCATAATGTTTAGGCTCTGTAAAGTTTCGTCTTCAACAAACTGTTTGAGCAAGGACGAATTCTTCCATGAAGCATAGATAGCTTCAAATTGAGCATTGGAACAACTGTTGTTTTTAATATTCAAGATGCCTTGCATTAATCAGTCGTCATGTAGTTTTCTCTCAAGGCCATGCACCCAGCGCTATCGGTAACACCAACTTCAAAGCAGGTTCACTCTTCTCCAATTGATTACATCCCTCTTTCCAGAAAGTTATGACAGTGCACTGACTAGCAGCCGAAAACTTGGGCAGTGCAAACATTGATACCAGCAGCACCAGCGCCAGGTGCAGCCATGTACTCGCACTTTGTCGCAAAGGTCCATGAGCCGTGAGGAGCAGAGTACTCAACAACATCGTCACGGAAGCGCATGTATGCTGAGTATCCAGACCGACAGTTCAGACCTGATGATGTAGTCATAATTAGCTATTGTTGTAACGTCATCAAGTCAGAGCTCGATAGAGTCAACTCACGCCAGCCATTAGCGTCGCCGTATCCATTGACGCTGCAAACTTTTTGACCATTGTCTGTGAGGGTGATGGTGGCATATTGGAAGTTGTTGATGCTCGCGACGAAATCGACGCAGGCTAGTGCAAAGCCAGCGAAAGATGCGAGGACGACGTTCTTCAGGGAGACCATTTTGAATGGAGTGATGATTGTTGCTTAAACTTAAAGATCGATGAGTTAATGAGTGAGGAGATGCGAGCTGAATGAGAAAATTTCTATGATTGTGAGAATTGCACGCGAGAATTATGATACTTATACTTGTCCTTGACTCCTTCCTCGATATCGTCGAGGTTGAAGTATCAGCAAAACTTCAGCAATGACAGCCTAAATGGCAGCCTAGTCGGAATTGCCCCATAGTCATTTCAATCGTGACAGGCCTATAACAGTTTTCACATTTTGAGGCCTTGACCGCTGCGATGTGAAGCATTGGCGGCTTACTTGCCAAGACAAAAGTCTAGTTGCCTGCCTCGCCAAGTTAGACAACACCCAGGCTCTAATCCCCATGGGGATTGACGTCGCAGGGGGGGGGGGCATCTACCCTTTCAGAATCTAAGGTTACCTTGCAAGAGAACTGTTGTCCCGATTGGTTGTGATCATGGTTGAGCAAGGACTATAACATACTCTCGTGAGCCCGAATGACAGCTAGCTACTGACTCGCTCCCCAGCGGTTAGCCACGATGGATGTTGATTCCTTCGCTGAAAATCTCGCATTCAGTAGCTTGCTGAGCTGAAAATCAAAGAGAATGAAAAGCTCTTAACCATGCAGTTGAAGCTGACGTGAGATTCTCTGCTTGGTTATAATAAACGAACTTTCTTTTCTAGTAATGTAACTGTTGGATTCACAGGTGGAAAAGGAAAATACTCGAGTATCGTGGGTAGCAACGATCACCGACTGTAGTGGTGATATTGCTTGTTCTTGTTGTTCTTCAGTGGAAGTCTAACCAGGTGCCAGCGGCGGCAGGAAGTCTGGGGTATACCACCCTCGTGTGGCTGAGCCACACGGACCACCGTGGCTGGAACGGACCGCGGCAGCAACCTCCTGCTGCCTAATGTAGGCCTATTCCAACAGTAACACTATGGAAATCGGTCATCGTTGGATTCGAAGATTGCAGTTTCGCGCGCTTATCTACTCGCATTGTGAATGAACACTTCGGTGGAAGTCGTTCGGCTGCAGCACAATGACTCTGCGACACTAAGCAAAGTGAAACATTCTACGGCCTATCCTTAGTAATCATCGTTAAGCGCCAGATCCATTGTACCTTCTGAGAATATTTCTGCCCAAGCAATTGATCAACTCATGTGTTGAGTCCTTGATGGTGTAGGCACCCCACAACCCGAACTAGAAGTCCCTCTGGAGCATCCCTGCTGCCTTCCCTGCCATGTTAAAGTTAATTGCAATTTCTACGCCGAATGGAGCGTCACCTTAATCTTACTTCACTTGCAGATTGCTAGAGCTCCAATAGGGCTTTTTGATTTTCCTGTATCTCACTTTCCTCTGATCATACCCAGAAGATGACCTATGATAGAGTGTAAGTGAATGAATTACTAGCTCACAGGACCCAAGATTCAATATTGGTTGCTAAAACGTGAAGCTTCATTCGAGAAATCTAAACAAACAATCTACGAGGCTAAACAAAGACAAGGAAATCTTCCAATAAAGCACAGAATCAAGTGTCCAAAATCAAGCAGAGCCGACGGCAAATTCCTTGACGACCTTGCACTCCGGGGCTGCTCCATTGACAGCATACTCGCAGCGCTCGCCCTTCAGGGTAGAAGCCAAACTCCTCTTCTGCTCCATGCGGGCAAAGTGTCGGGAGCGCTTAGCGGGAACGTTCTTAGGAGAAACGTCAGTGAAGGCTTGCTTGGCAGCGTCCCAAATCTTGTTGTCGGAGGTGATGAAGGGAGCACCGGCAAACTTGGTCAGCGACTCTTCCTTGCCGTTGAAGAAGCCAGAAAGCTCCTCAAGGAAGGGAACAGTATCGATGGTCTGGTTCTTGCCGGAAAGAGAGCGCTTGCCGTAGGACTCCTTGCAGCTGTTGCGGTTGGCGATCTGTCCCACATTGTCGGTTATGTACTTGCAAGCCTGCTCGAAGGTGGTCTTGGCCAGTGTGTCGTTCTTTCCCTTGTTGAAAATGCCAGCGAGGTTCTCCATATCGAGGTGCAGGGACTGGATGGGCTTGTTGGTGCCGTCAGGTTGACCGTCGAGCCAGATGCAGCGCTGGCGAACACCGTTAAGGACGGCACCCCAGTTCCACTCACGGCCGCACTGGAATCCCAAGTCACCAACGGGGATGAAGACCTCATCACGTCTCGCCTGGGTATCGCTGCCCTTGAGAATGATGTTGGAGACGCAGATAGCATTGCCACCGGGCTGGATGTCGAGAGACTTGAGGTTGAAGCCATTGTTGGTCTTGAAGCTCTGAATAGGCGCCTCGGCGTTCTTGAGACCCTTGAACAGCTCCAGGTCACCATTGTTGCGGCACTGATCCTCGGGCTTGTCACTGTTTCCCTCAAAGACACCAAATATCTGGGTGTTGGAGAAGTCGGACAGGATGATGGAAGGAGGGTTGCCCGCAGCATCTTGGTTGTCTCCAATTTCCGTGCGGATGGTGTAGAAGTCAACCTCCTTGGGCTTCGTGTTGATCGCCGACATGATGCCAATGCCCGATGAGACGAGTCCCCAAAAGGTGGCAACATTGCCCATGGCGACGCCGAGGGTTGCAACTGCTCCGATAGCGGCCATCTTGTTTCAAAAGATTGGTGGTAAGTGAAAGTGGTAGGAAAGTTCCTAAGTGAGTGACTAAAAAGCAAGAAAAAAGAAGGAAGTACAACTCGTTGTTGTGATAGAAGACTGATCTGTGTGATGTGATGATGAGAAGGACAACATTTTTCGAGGAAAATGAAGAACTTTTTATAATACCATGATACCGCTATTGTTTGTTTGTTTTTGTTTTATATTTAACGCCATGGCGGCAAGGGCGCAGCCGCCCTTGCGGCAGACCTCCCGGAGGGTATGTGGCGTGGAGGGTCGCAGGCTCTAGCTATATACTATATAGTACACGCCGTATCCTGACGTCCTCCAAGTCTTTGATACCGCTAGACTTGCTGCTATACCAAGTTCGACCATCTTGATCACTACTCAATATTCAATTTGATGATGGCAAACTGTCACCTCGCTTAGCCTCTTGATTGAATCCATATTACGCCTGGCCAAGTAAGGCCAGCCTCTCCCATGAGAGTCGGCGCCGAGCGGACTCTTTGGCAGTACAAAGGCCGAATGCCCGATGCTATTCTCAGCTGCCAAGTCCGGATTCGATGCATCGTGAAGTGAATTAACAAGGTTATTGTGGACATTCTTAGCATACATGTTAAGTAGACTGTAGAACCCAATTCTTTACCTCTGAAACCGGCCAGGCGGGACGAGGATCGACACCGGCAATGCTTGACAACCACGATTCATGCACACCCGGAAAAGCTCTCCGAGAACATTCAGAAGGCAATCTAGTTGACAATGTCACCGGCGAAGTGAATCGTCTGAGTGTTCAACCATTACTATGACTCTTGAAATCCACTGGACTCGAGACTTTGCCTTCTCCCAATTGAAGCTCTTGAAGTCGATGACTTACTCAGAGTATGAACACGCTCTCAGCTGCATTAGAATCAAGCGGAGATGCGGAGCAGCGTCAGTGCAAAAATAGAGTTCCTCTAGCTCACGCAGCATGTGCCCCTTATTGTAACCAGGAAGGCCTCGAAGCGGCCTTGTGACCGTTTCCCTGCTTAATATGGGGGAGAAGGGCTCTAGACCCCATTTCCCCATGATAACTGGGCTGATGCTAAGCCCTATCACGAACTTTTAGACTCGGTGGCGCATCAAGGAACAGCCCGCACTATGCGGACTGG